ATGAAGTCCTCCTTCATCACGTTGCCTCACATGTTTGCAATTTGTGTGTTGGTCCCCGCTTCATTGCTGGAGACTTAAATGTGGTCCAAAACTCACTACCGGCATTTGGTTTGCTGCAACAGGCTGGGTTTAGGGAAATCCAGGACATTGCACTGGAGAGATGGGGATTCCCTGTTCAAGCCACTTGTAAAGGTAAAACTCGCCCTGATTTCCTTTATGTGTCGCCAGAATTGGCGGACTTGTTGCTTGAAGTGGAAGTCTTGCATGATGTCTGGCCTGACCACTCGGTGTTGTATGGGCGGTTTAGATGCTTGACGGTGGCCCCTTCACTCTGGGTCTGGCCGACACCTTCTCAATTTCCTTGGCCTCAGAACTTTGCCACTACTGCTGTTTGGCCCACTGATGCTGACAATATGACTCATGCCTATGCTGACTTGTGGAAACAAATCGAATGTGATGCTGCAGCAGCTTTGCCTTACCCCATTCAGAAACAGATGTTTGGTCGAGGCAGTCGGACTGCGCCTTGCAAAACCAAGGGTTCCTCTTGTGCTCCTGTCAAAGTTGGCCGTAAAGGTGATTTCCAACCGGAATTTTGTGGGACTTCTCTGCGGCATGCACAGTGGATCCGTCAGACACGCCGGATTCAAGCGTTTGCTCGGCTTGCAACCAATCCTGACCCTCGCCTCGGACCCCAGAAAGCTGAGGCATGGGGAGCGATTTTACGTGCCAAGGGTTTTTTCCCAACCTATGCTGAATGGTGGATAACCTGTGGCTTCAAAACCAGTCTTGCCCCGGGGGTGTGCCCAGTTATTCCGCCTGAAGCTAGTCTTGCGCAAGCCATGTTTGACTCAATGGTGATGGCTGTCAGGAATCTTGAGGCAGATCTCAGACGCACATCCAGGCAATACGCCAGGTTTCGGCGTGATCAAAACCCAAATTTAGTTTTTGCTGACATCAGACCACAAGCGGTACCAGGGGTTGACATTTTGCTGCAACCTATCAGGGCCGTTGTTGAGAATGTGCAACCAGATGAGGGTTTGATTGTTTTGGATAGGCCATGTGATTTCTTGCCTGACAAGGTGATTTCTTGTGATGGGAAGCCATTGAATGTCATTCACCATGAACATGATGCGTTGTGGGTTGAAGATGTGCAACAGGTCCCCATTGGTGGTGAGATTTGCCAAACCAAAACAGTTGGTAGCCATGTTGAACTTGAACAGGAATTTGTGCAGGCCTGGCGTAGCCGATGGATGCGACATGCCACAGTTCCTCCTGAGCGGTGGAATGACATTGTCAATTTTGCCAAGCGGTTTTTGCCACGGATGCCCATGGTTTGGGATGCTCTGACGCCAGCTGATATTCGCCAGGTCGTGGCTCGAAAGAAACGCACTACTGCGCATGGTTTTGATGGTGTGACGCTGGCAGATTTGCAAAGCATGCCTGAACCAGTACTTCTAGCGTTTTGCCAAATGCTCCAGCAGTCGGAAAAAACTGGCCAGTGGCCGTCACAACTGGTTGATGGGAAGGTGGTTAGTCTTGCAAAGGTCTCTTCACCAGGGTCTCCATCCGACTTTCGACCAATCACCATTTTCAGTTTGTTGTACCGGGTCTGGAGCTCCCACCACTCACGCAAAGCACTGGCCAGCATTGATCAGATTCTCCCTGACACTTTGTATGGCTCTCGTCCTGGGCGTTATGCTGCGCAAGTTTGGGCAAAACTACTTTGGTCGGTAGAACATGCATTTCAGGAAACGATTGATCTCACTGGCTTGGTGGCGGACTTGCAAAAGGCCTTTAACCTGATACCACGGCTTGTGGTTTTTGAAATTGCTGGCCACTTGGGTCTTCCGGGTGGAGTGCTGTTAGCTTGGGCGGGTGCTTTGCAACAAATGAAACGGAGGTTTGTGCTGCGTGGTTCCTTGACCGTTGGGGTGCCTAGTGTTACTGGTTTTCCAGAAGGTTGTGGATTGAGCTGTGTGGCAATGCTGCTCATTGACTTTGCGTTCCACCGATGGCATCAGCAGTTTTTTCCTTTGTGCACTGCCCTTTCTTATGTTGATGATTGGCAACTCATCTGTCCGCATAGTACAATGTTGGAGAGGGCCAAGTTTTGCCTCGAGAAGTTTGTCCAGGCTGTTGATCTAAAGATGGACCCCAAGAAGTCCTATGCTTGGTCCGTCACGGGTGAAGGTCGTCACAGACTTCGGCAACAAGGGTTCTCAGTTGTTCTTGCGGCAAAGAATTTGGGTGCCCATGTGCAAGTGTCACGAAAACACACTAATGCCTCATTGATGGATCGGGTTCAGTCAGTTGTTGATGTGTGGCCCAAGCTTCGACTCTCTGCTTGCCGATATGCGACCAAGGTGCGGTCATTATTGGTTGCTGCATGGCCGAAAGCGCTGCATGCTATCACTGCAACTACCATTAGTGATGCTGCCATGCATAGCCTACGCACAGGAGCAATGAAAGGCTTGAATGCAGATAATGCGGGCAGCAATTGTTGGCTGCAATTGGGCATGATTGAACACCCGTTGACAGACCCTCAGTTTTGGGCGATTGTGCAAACCATCAGATGTGCCAGGGACTGTGGTGACCCGCAACAGATTTGTCATGCGATTGGTTTGCTTATTAGCGATCCTGAGGTTTTGCCTGTGAACTGTATCACCTCCACGTTGCTCTCTCGTTTGCATATTTTGAGCTGGCGCATTGATGAATGTGGGGTGGTCCATGATGATTTTGGCTCCTTTTCGCTCTTTGAAGCGTCCTTGGCGGAAGTGACTTTTCGGGCTCAATGGGCTTGGCAAAAGGTAGTGGCTCAACAGGTGGCTCATCGACCAGGGTTCGTGAACCTGCACCAGGCTGATGCTCCTGACACGCGAAGTTTTTTGCGGGGTTTGCCGGCTGATGAAGTAGAGGTGTTTCATCGATGCTTGAATGGAAGCCACATAACTCAAGATGGTAAAGTGCATTGCCAAGAGGGTGGAACGGAGGTTTGTCCATTTTGTCAATGTGGCGACTCGCGATTCCATCGTTTTTGGGTCTGTGAGCGATTTGAGAGTGAGCGACAGCACATCTCTGGTGATATTAGACAGTTGATCCCTTCTCTTCCTGACTTCCTCACTGGATATGGCTGGAGTATGAAGCCTCACACTTTGCAGCCCTGGCTCCATTGGTTGGATTCCATTGTGGTACCTGCTGCACAACCTAGTTTGCCACTTGATTGTGATTTGCACCTTTTCACTGATGGGAGCTGCATGAACCAGGCGTTTCCAACCTGCCGCCTTGCGGCGTGGGCAGTGGTGTGTGCGTTTCATGACCCCATGCATAGTCAGGTGGTAGATAAGGGGCCTCTACCGGGCATTCTGCAAAGTTCATATCGTGCTGAGATTTTTGCGGTGTTGCGTGCCTTAGAATTTGCTCGCCTTCAGCAATGTAGGGTTTTCCTGTGGTGTGATTGTAGTGCAGTGGTACGCAAAATCACAAGACTGCTGAATGGATATGAGCCGAAGCCGAACAGCCCGCATGCTGATTTGTGGTGTCAGATTTTCACATGTTTGCAAGATTTTGGCCCCGGTCAGATTCAGATCACGAAAGTTGCTGCTCACAGGTCACGTGCCAGTGCAGAAAGTCCACTTGAGGAATGGTGTTTTGTCCATAATGCTCTGGCCGATCAAGCAGCGCTTCAAGCACAATGGGAACGCCCGGCTCATGTTTGGCAATTGTTTGAGAAACATGTGATGTCCACTCTGGCATGTCAGCGGATTTCAAGGGAAGTGCAGCATGTTCTTTTGAAAATCAGCAAAGCTGTTTTGCGTGAGCATCATGACCCTGAAGGAGTGCCGCGTGAGGATTTGGCGATTTCACCGCCTGTTCCGTATGATGCTTGGAAGCCGCTCTCTGCTCTGACAATTCCGCCTGCGGCGGTCCGATGGTATGGTGACGAGGTGGTGAGACAGGTGGTTTCCTGGTTCTGGGGTGAGGCATTTCAAAGTTCTTTTCCTGTTGTGTGGGTTTCGCAATTCCAGTTGTACATCGATTTCATGTTAGCTGGTGAACAGGGTCCTACAAAAATCCATGCATGGCAAGCAGGAAGACTCACGCCGCACCTTGATATCCTGAATATTCCTTTTCAGAAAAGATCCAGGTGGCTGGGCAAGGTCCTCAAAGAGTGTCTCAGGCATTGTGGCCATAAATTGACATACAGGTATTGCCGTCCTGTCTCAGAAGCCTTTAACTTACATACCAGTTGCCTTGCGGTGCCATGGAATCCTGTCAGACTTCAAGCCATTGACGAGTGGGTGTTAAAGCTGGTGCCTGCTGGCATCCATAGGACCTCAAAGGCTGTTGAAAGTTTGCCGATCGCTTGCAAAGATGAGCGTTTTGCACAGGTTTGGATTTCATTGGCCTAGGCATACCGAAAGAGGAATGCCAGCGTCAGACTCTGGCATTGCTGTCGACAAATGGAGACAAATGGTGGTTTGGAACATTACTTATTTTTCCATGCATTGGGAATGTCATAATCCCAACTGACGAACTCCATCATTTTTCAGAGGGGTAGGTATACCACCAACCAGCAACGATATTAATAATCATTATCAACCATTATCAACCATTATCAACCATTATCAACCATTATCAACAACCATTATCAACCAGTATTATCAACCATTATCATCATAAATCCATATAAATCCCCTAGAAATGACCCCATTTTCATCCATAGCTTCCATAGCAAACTGTTAGTCATAACCAGAGGGTAACTCATTCGACCAATGGTCATTCCAGGATCCGATTGATTGGAGGTACCAATCCCATAGAAAAAAGGCCTATTAGATTATTAGTAAGGCCTACATTTCAGGGAATATCCCCAGCAAAATATGGCCATATCTTACTAACATATTGATGCTTATCTAACAGAATAGCAAAATATCCCCTGGCCAAAATATGGCCAAACATATGGTACAGTACTGGTACCTCCATCTGTTGGATCCTGAAATCAGGTGATCCACTGGGAGACGGTCTCCAATCAGCTCCCTGAGTGCAGGTGGAAAAAGCATGGACAAGCCTAGTGAATGTAGGGGAAGACGGGAAGACCAGCCAAATTTGCCGATTTGACACGACGTTAACACGATTTATCTATGTTTCTCTCAATTGTCCTCATTCAACATACAATTTGCACCAATCTTGAAGCACACCCAAATCATATAAAAAAGGGAAAAAAAACAATCATGGTTTCCTGATACTTCGTTAGATTCCGTTAGATCATCTCAGTACGTGGCAAAACGTATGGTTTCAAAGAAACACATTGACATGTTGCAGCAAAAATGCCGCAATACCTTGGAAAGGTCCTATCCTTTCATGGATGGGTCATGGATAAGGCAGATTGAGCATCAACTGTTTAAAACTGCATTATCACCTACCGAGAGACGAAAGATGCTGGTTCCAAAAAACAATGAGAAATTTGTTTTCTTGAAACAGACTTACTGCAGTTGCAGTAGTTTTTAGTTGTTATGACCTATGAAAAAGGACAAGGCCACTTCCTGCAGTGTGGCATGCCTGAAACCATATCTCAAACCAATGTGGATTTGTCTGAATTTTGCTGGGGAAAACTATCCAAATTTGATGGTTGATCATCATTTTGAGTAAAATATAAATTTTGCGGTCTACCCAATTTTTAGACAAACTGCTGCGTTTTATTGTGTAAAAAAAAGCTGTACCCTAACCTTCAGTCGGATCATCATCTGACTGCAACGATTTTCCAATGAAGAATAGGAATGACACAAGTTAATCTAGTTGGTGATTTAGAACATGTTTTATTTTCCAAAATAGTTGGGATGATGATCCAATCTGACTAATATTTTTCAGGGGGGGTAGGTATACCACCAGCCAGGAATCCAGCAAATGGGTCTTAGTTTATCCACCAGTTCTTGGGTTTTCAGAATGTACTTTTGAGAGACATGTGGATGGGTCAAATTGTCAAATGTCAGCACCGGCAGGAAAAATTATCAATTGCTATTACTAATTAATTTCCATGTCTCTGGGTCAATTTTGATATGCACCCATATCTCCCTTTTTGATTCTTGGCACCAAATCATGGTCATCCCCCCATTAATAGCAGTTTAATGCAGTTTATCATCACGAACGATTTTGATCATCATACGTCATCAATCCCATGTAATGTGACCATGGCACATGCTGTTGATTGCTGCCTATTTCCTACTGGAAGTGTCGAGGATAGGTCCGACGGTCCTGGAGTCCTCAGTCATTACCATATCCCGAAAAAACGGCTAGGTGGTAACCGTGATCATTTCCCTGGATCTATCTCGAACACATTGGCTGCAAATCAAAACTTGAACACCCCATGTGTTGACAAAAAATTGCCTAATGTTTGGACATGTTTTCGCTATTTTTGCCAATGTTTCATGTTTGTATTGTCTATCCTATGGAAACTGGAGGTGACCGAAGGGGAGTATCCCATGAAATAATCAAATTATCAACAGGCACACTTCACTACATCCCAAAATGTCCTCATCTATGTTCCATAATGCACATTATATATATATATATACATACACGTATATATAATATGATATTATGTATATGTATACGTATATATATATATCCCATAAAATCCGACAAAAAAAAAGACACAAGTCCCATCAACTCCCAGAGATCTCTGGTCACTTGTTCCGATCACAGAGTGGACCGCATCAGGCAGGTGGACCTAAGCCAAGCCATGCAAAACCGACCCGCCTGCAAGACAGCTGTGGAGGAGTCGAATCGGACGACTGGGACCCAGTGGGACCATTTCCCCTCAAAGGTGGCCATGGGATTCCTCGCGTATCAACGATCACTGGTTGGTGGTGATTGGAACCATGGAATTTTATGACTTTCCATAGATTGGGAATTTCATCATCCCAACTGACGAACTCCATCATTTTTCAGAGGGGTTGAAACCACCAACCAGATCATTTTTATATATGGTTTAATAGGAAAATCAATGAACATCATCTGAAAAATAGTGGATTTTCCATTGCCGTGTTTGATTGCGAGGGTATCCTGCAAAAAATGAAGGCAAACTTGGGGATTTGAAACCATGAAAGACAGGGTTTCATCACCTGGGGAGATAATTGGTACATGATGATTTGTCATTGGGTGAAAAGCTAGTTGGTTCAGTGGGATTATTGCCAGCCGCAATTGAACCTCTCTTAACCAATCAGTAGAAAGGAATGAAAGCCATGGAGGAGATCATTTGGATAAAAAAACATTTTGGGTTTCCATCGTTTCGGGGAAAATCATGAAAATCCTTGTGTGTCAACCACGGTAAAGCAACTGGTGATGGCTCTGTTTCTTGGATGAAGCTGTTTCTTGGATGGAAACCCAATAATTCCGCGCCATCAAAAACTCTGGAAATCACAGCAATGTCAAGGTCGCAGACGTCGCTGTAAATGATACAAGGGAAGTTTCCCAAAATGATATCATTTGCGGAAGGTTCGCGAAAGGTTGGCGAAAGGCGAGTCTGCAAGGATCCCACCTTGGCCCAAAATGGTCTAGTTTGTCTTGCAATGTTGCCACTGCAAAAACCCTTCAAAGTCTTTTCAACTTGTGTTTCTGTTGTCGGGCAGTCTGTAAATCGACTTAGGCCAATGCTTCTGTAAATCTTTATTACGAACTTATGCACACGAAAACATGATCATAATTCCCTATCCCGATTCTGGGGCGCGAAAGGTTCGCGAAAGGGCGGCGGTTTTGGGGATGTGAACCAACAACAACGGGATGGTATGAAAAATCACCGCTAATCCCACTACCCTCTGCTACTCAAACATGGCAATCGAAATCCACCTATATTATAGATGATTTATATATACAATGTGAGGCCCCCCAGTTATAAGTTGGTTTATAAACCCCAGTAACTATAGTTATACGTACCATAAACCATAGTTATTGGAGTTATAAACCAACTTAGCTATCTTGGGGGCCTCACATTGTATATATATATATATATTATATACATATATATATAGAGATACCCATCTAGTTCGGGGATCTCCCGGCTAGGCATGTTGCATGATATGCTAGTTGCCTGTGTGTCCATGGGGTGCCATCTTGGACCAAGGATGGTGATCGAAATTTCAGGGCCAAACCCAAGATGTTTATGGAGGTGAACATCCTTTGAAACAATTCTTCCATTACTGTTCTACAACCCATAGGATCCATGTATGGTATATATGCTAACATTGGGGGTATATTGATGGTAAATGTTACCATATGTAGCATACATGGATCCTATGGGTTAGAAGTTCTATTTGTTACATATATATGTTTCTAATGTTTTCCAAATATGTTGATTCTTCGGCGACTTTCTCTCCATTCTCAGGATGTAACTGGGCCAGGCATTTTATTTGGATCGGCCATCAAAGGGCCATCCCAGTAGGCTGCACGCACTCGTTTTTGTGCGATCTTAACAACGTGCCTTAAATGCCAAGAGCAACAGAAATGCTGCAACATGTGATAGTTTGATATACCCTCCGGTAATTTAACATAGCTATTGAAAATGACCATTTATAGTGGATTTTCCCATTAAAAATGGTGATTTTCCATAGTTATGTTAATTTACCAGAGGGTAAAACTTACAACATGTTTCTTATGGTCCATGGTAGAATCATGTAGAATCACCAGAAAATCACCTCGACATCATGAATGATGATCACCAGTTTTTTTCACTGCAGGAACTGTTCTCAAAGGCTCCAGCTTATAGCTCCTTGGCGGTGCAGTTTTTCAGATCTTGAATCCACGGAGTTGCTCGTTCTGTGGATTGCCATAGGTCCTACGGCGATTCGAATCACCATCTTTATCTCCTTCTTTTGGTATCGGTGGGACACTCAGTGGGATTCCTGGGATAGGTGAGTTGTTGAGATCCAAAGAGGCTAGCAACATGTTGATTTCAAAAACTTTTTACGCTACGTTTTACGCTCATCTACATTGCAGTTCTACTGCCTGTCGTATCTGTTGGTGATGTATTTTGTTATTCCAAGACATGCTCAAGGCCTTCTTTTTTTGTGGGGTTGATGCAACCAACAAAACTGTGGGCATTTCTTGAATCCTTTGGAAACGGGAAGATGACCGACTAAAAGATGTCAAGAGACCTCCTTGATCAGGGTCATCTCGTGCACCCAAAATTGTATCATTTCCAGCGAAAAATCGTCCAAGTCATTGTACCGAATTGTACCTCCCCTTAATTGGTACCTCAACTTTTACATGTTCCTTGGTTGAACCAAACAATGTTTGCTCACCATCCATGATTACTTGCCAGGTGTATATTTTGTTGTTGATTGCTAACTATTGTATATGTTCTTCCAACATGTTTGTAGAGAGCGGCTGGCTTCGATGATGTTTGGTTCTTCATCCCTTACTGCACTTGGGAGCTGTACGTAGACCTTGGGTAATCCATGGTAATCCATGGTAGTCCATAATGATTGCTGGTTGAAGTTCTTGATATTCAATGACTGGTTGGTGCTTTGGAACATTTTTTATCCATATTATATGGGATGTCATCCTTCCCATTGACGAACTCATATTTTTCCAAGATGGTTAAAACATGTTAAAACCACCAACCAGGTGATATTCTCAATATTTCTCAATGATGTTCCTATCATTCGCAGTCGCAGAATGTTGTGATTTCTGATTCGACGACCCCTAGGTCATCCAACAGCCATAAAATGAGGTGTCAAAAATTCATTGCCATTTCATAGGTGAATATCCCGCTCCATACTTACCATATATATATAGTGTATTCGTAGTGTTTTTGTTCACATTCAAAGATTCAAAAAATGGGTTTCATTTTGTGGAAAGATGTGGAAAGTCTCTTACGTTCCAAGAATTGGTTGATCACTGTAGATGATTCCTGCTTAAGAAAATCGCATCAACGTGCAATTCCCATTGTCACGGGTATCTGTAATGGTAAATGGAAACATATATTATACATATATATATATATACATATACAACCTTGGCCAATACACTACTAGTAATGATAATATATAGTAATATATATAATATTAATATTATGTAAAGTGGTTGTATCAGTTTGTACAGGGTTTATATGATTTATACGATAAGATGTATATTATCATGTTCTCATCTTACGTATCTCCATTTTCGCCCAGGACGGAGCTGGCTCTAGAGCTGCTTGAGGAAGATAGCCGATGGACGGATGCAGAGGCGCCAGAGCGCGAGTCACGGGTGGCGTCGAGCAGGGGGGTGTTTAAGGAAGATGTCTTGGGGATTTCATAATGACAACTAGGGATTTGAAATGATTTGAACAATGAGTTGTAATGAACATATATATATATTATAATAGTAACTGACAAAATTATTGTAATACTAATTTAGTTTTGCTTCGCCTTGGCCTTTCCGAGGGGTGTGCAAAACCTTCATAACCGATAGGGGACGACCCTATACCGATACCATCCGATACCACTGTTTTGCATGAATCGCCTGAAAGTCTGTGAACGCAGAAATTTTCACTACCGATAGGGGACCACCCTGATTTGCGCATCAAAATAAACAATGATTTTGTCCGCCATTCATATATATATACATTATGATATCCACAATGGATGTGGGTTTGTAAGAAGTTTGCAGATGAGTTTCACCACAGCAACTCCTGTCGGAAAGTCATGTGGGATTGTCCCAATGTTCCATCATCACCACATGGCACTGGCGGCTACCATATAGTCAGAGGTAGAGACACCAATCACTGTCATGCGAAAAAAAACTTGTATATCAATTGTCATATATCTGCAGTATGTGTTTGTTGTTACATGCACTAATATAGTGCACCAGACTATGATACATGCTGATTTGTCACAAGTAATCCATGATCTGGCATCATATATTTATATGACAGGTATTGTAGATATTGCGTTTATCGGTCCTGACAGCCATCTAGTACTCGTATTTGTTTGTCATTAATGTCATGGGGATTCAAGCAACCCGTTCATCTGTTATTTAGGGCTAATTCAGCAGCAACAATCACTACGAATGCCTTACCAACCATCCATTTTTGGGGGGTACCTTTGGGGTTGTTGGTGGAATCCACCTTTATAAGATTTTATAAGTCTATTAGTCTATTAATTATACCCCCCTATGTTTATAAGACTATTAGTAGTCTATTATACCCCCCTATGTCCCTACAATGAGACTATATGAAAGGCTAGTAGATATCCCAATGGATAAGATCCTGTTCATCCAACAGGAGGATTGATGGCTAGTTAATATTCCCACATCTGTCCCCACATCTTCCCAAGATCCCAACCTTTATTACATAGGGGTTCCTACCATGTGGGGCCCTCAAGATAGCTAAGTTGGTATAGTGCAACAACTAGGGTTTATGGGGGTTATAAACAATATATAGCATTCTATAACTATAGCACTCCCCACAAGATAGAACAAGTGTTTGCAGGATGGTGTGCTATAGAGTTAAATGGGGTTATAAAGACGAGCTTATGCCTATAATGACTAGGGGCTCATAAAAGAGGACTATGAACATGAATATATCTATTATAAATATATATATATATATGTATATATATATATAATATCTATTATATTATATATATACATTGTATACACTATAGTTAAATGGGCTTAAAACGCTCGATTTAGTACCACCGTTGGTCATTCATATAGTCCTCTCGGGCAGACATCCCGCAGGTCGCGGTCGTGACGCAGGTTGGTGCCTGGTACAACGTTTGCGCCGTGACGAAAGAGGTGCCAGGGGACGAGTTGGGGAAGATACCATGGAATGGGGATTTCATGGTGATTTAATGGGTTTTAATGGAAAATCATAGGAAAACCATAGGACCTTAGGAAAATGGTGATTTAATGGGGATTTAATGGTGATTTAGTGGGATTTCATGGGATTTAATAGGTTTGAATGGGATTTAATGATGATTTAATGGAGATACCATGGATATAAGCTGAAATAATGGACTAAGAATGGATATAAATTGTGGATATTGATGGATATCAATGGATTATAATGGATTAGTCAATGGATTACCCTCTGGTTGTTTAACATAGTTATTGAAAATGGCCCAGTCGAAATAGTTGATTTTACCCATAAAAAATGGTGATTTTCCAGTTCGTTATGTAAACGTTTACCAGAGGGTAGATCCCATGGACTATCTTCATGGGACCTTACCAGGAATGATCCTACATGGGATGAGCACCATGGTTCGCATATGGGTTAGGTACCAGGTAGGGATCAATAGTAAAACTGCTTGCAAAATGGTTAAGATCATTATACCACCGCAATCCCAATCAACTCTTAGATATGTGGCCAAAATAGATCAAAATAGCAACACGTTGCATGGTACATGCTACTTGCGGGCTGCACTGTGCACCCCTAGGTACATCATGGATGGGGGAGCTTTAATATTTGGTTTATCACATCCAGATCATTGATGTGTGGCATAGATTAATTACATATATATATACACATAGATTCACTCAAAGATTTCCGGACAAAGGTAGATGTACCATACGTTGGATGATAATATGGGACATGATGGTGCGAACCACGCAAACAAATCTACCCGAAGGGTCAGGAAATCCTGTTTCCTGCTATTTTCCGGTGTCGTAAGAAGCAGGGAGCATCAACAGATGCACTTAAATGACCAAAGGATGGAGTTCCGAACATTGACTCAGTCAACTCAATATAGCCTCTGGTGTCATCATGGCTGGGAGATCTCCTATGAAAGATGTCAATTGGAAAATCATCGAACTACATACGGTGTTTGATTGCCGGAACCCCTTAGAGTAGTGCACGGGGAAATTGAAGTGCCACCTGCTGTAGAAACCATAGGATGATCCTCCCATCATTTGTAGAAAAAAACATCCGAGATACTATGGGTTTTCATCGGTTTTCCATATTTGTGTTAAATAACAATTATATATGTATATATAGTTAACCCCAGGGTAACTCATCCAAACTTTAAATCATTGACTTGGTTCCGTCAAGAAGGGTCTGCTACAATGATGGACGGCATGGTTGCAAGAGGTTTTTCTTTCTCCCAATCTTTTTCTGGCTGATATTGTTGACAGAACAAACTATATACTGGACACCAAGTAGAAAATATGTTTTAAAACTTTTACGCATCAAATTCAGAGTTTCCTGCAAACATAAATCAATATATACATATATTATTAACATTATTATTATTACTACTATTATTATTTCTATTCTTCTTATTATTGTTATCATTTATATATATATATATCCATCAATCATCCTTAAACTCCATGCCAGATTGGCTGGTGAACTCAACGCCTCCCTGTGAGGACTACTGCCCCAGGAAGGAGTTGCTGGCGATGGATCGGGATCCTGCGATTGAAGTCTTTAAGGCCGCAGTTGGTGGCTGAAAACTCTACACCCCAGTTGGTTCATGATTATAGATAGGGGATTATCAACTAACCACATATAATGTTAGTAAAGCAATGACAAGTCACCCATATTTTGACGATCTATACTTTATACCACCATATACCACCAATTTAAGAAACATTTTGGGATGGTTTACTACTGCGTTAACTTCGTATTGCTTTACTAGTTGTATTGGGAAAGATCACAGTCCATGAACGGGAAATCCTTTTCTCAACCAACCAGTATGAAAATGGGTTTGTCTCGAGGCTAGGGGGTTGAATTCTCCTGATTCATGGCTTACTTTGGTATACAGCATATGGGTGCCCCTTCGGTATACATGATGAAGCAGTGGAAAAAAGGAGGTATCCTCTCGACAAACCGAGGGCAAGGGGGAACATATAGGATTTTTGGTCAAAAATCAGGGAAGAGGCAAACGTTTGAAGACATGGTTAATGGTGAAGCATCCTTGACACCGACTAAATACATATGCCAGAAGGATGCAGGTGTGTAACGAGTCGGCAGGGGGGGTGCCATCAAAGACGAGCAACAAAATGATATCGAGAGAAACGGAATGAGTGTTGAAAAAAAGATCCTGGATAGATTTCTCATCTGTTTATCCGTTGTTTTCGATGCGTAGACTGCTACTAATTGGATTATCAAATTATCAACTAATCCACTTGGATCCCTCAACCAGGGGCAGCTTGGGGATGTCAGACAAGGTGACAGACGTTTTTCGTTGGTTAATGCAACCCTTCTTGCTCGTCACCCGCAGTGCTGGTTGGAATCCCCGCGTTTGTTGCTTAAATCCGCATGTTTGGTGATGCAATCCTCATTTTTTTCTGGTTCATCCACCAGTTTGTTTTACTGTGAAACTGTGAACAGTTTGCTTCGGTATTTTTGTGGCTTAAAGATCATAGAAATTGGAACACAGCAGCCGGGTAGGATGAGATGGAGATGGTCCTTCAAAAGCTCGAGAACTTCTGCACCAGCGGGCGTGCTAGCAAGCTTGGATGCTACGTGCAGCACCGTGGCATGCAGTGGTTATATCGTTGCATCAGTGGATGAGGAAGCTTTATATGGGTAATAACATGTAGTAACCCGCTTGTTTGATGGATGTTGATAAATTGGAATATGCCAGTTCTAGCCTTGTGAGGCCTTGTGGAAAACGTTTCGTATTTAGTTTAATAATAGGTCAATTATCGAACTAAGTGGGCTTTCTGGGCTTTCAGAGCTTTGTTAACATACTGGAGGGTAAGTAGGTTCCAAAAAAAACATATGATAATATAGATAGTATTTATAGTTGTTTTTTTCCCTATTTATAGATGATATTCCCATAAACAGTAGGTTACAACTATAAATTCAATATATTTTAATATTGTTTAACTTGATTCTCCTTGCGGACACATGACATGGCAGAAATGGGATTTTGGAGCCCGTCGAGCCCGTGACAATTTTTCAAGGTGTGTCAACGTTGATACGGTAGGAGCTCCGTTAGTTGACACAACGAGTTTGCATGATGTCCAACTTGATGTTGCTTCAATCCCGATATCCCTTGAAGGGATGACAAATTATACAAAAATATGTAATTATATGAACATCCAAAAGGAGTCACACAGATACAGGAAATTATACATCTTCTTAAAATAGTTAGCAGTTGCATTTCTATTTTTTTGATTCTTTTTGGAGGGTACATAGTACCTACGAGCTCTCTTGATATGAACACCAGGACACCAGTGTGTTGATAGGGAAAGTTGGTGTCCCTGTTCATATGGGGACCCGCAATGGGACGTTTTAATAGGAACATGTAGCAAATATAGGAACACTGTGTGTTATATTATCAGAAACGATAATATCAGAAACCATATCTGGTATATCAAATGTGTTATATCTGGTATTTCCATGTATTTCCTATATATCAAATGGTATATCAGACATATATCAGACATATATCAGACATATTTGAATTGGAATAGCATATTTTCTGATACCGAAGCCTCTTCTGTGCCAGCTGGTCATGTGATGATTGGGTAAATTGCCGATGATCCAGCAGGGACCTTAGGATTTTAACGCGAAACCACTATTTCATGTTTAAATTAGTGATACCAGGTACCTATATATTGAGGGTATAATTTAATCCTGGGTATAGTAAATGACTAATGTCGTAATGGTTGCTCTTTATAAGGACAATCATTTTGTAAGGGCATCTCATTTGTTTGTTCTTTTCCATCATTTAGTGGAAATGGGTATCATATGTATCTATATATATATAATAATAATATGGATATAGTCGTTCCCAAAAATATGTAAAAGTAATTTCCCACTAACACAGCGACTAAATTCTGCTCTATTTTTTGGGATTACTGTTTATATCACCAGTGCCATGGATGGTCTAAGCAGGTCAGGGCTGCACGTCCAACATTCCAGTATCAATCAATATATTGATTACTTTATCTACTATATATATATATATATACACGTATACATATTATGACACCAATCAATCCCAAATATCTGAGGACCATCTCTTGGACCAACGGTGTGCGGGACAACAAGAATTTCCAGGCCGACAGCCAGAGGGCTACCACCAATAAAGAGTTAGATTGAATCAGCAAAATTGGCATGGAATCATAAAATATGCCAAAAAACGCAAACACCTGGGGCTTGATCCTTTGGTAAATATGTTGACCAATATTTGGGTTTAAGCAGAAAAACATGGGGGCATCAACAGAATTTTGGGCAACTGAGACATGGCTTTCACTGTCGCAATTAGACGTGGTTGGCCGGAGAATCACATGTTTCAAAGATCTAAATCGTGTGAATATGAGTAAAGATGACATGGTGTCTTCCACTCGCTGGTTGGTTGAGTAGTAGAGGGTTCCCCCCCATGAAAAACCACCAATAGGTCGATGATAATGGATAGGACATATGGTTCTCCTCGGTTTATGTTGGGTTTTGCTTCATTATTTCTTTTGAGTAGCTCCGTTTGCTCACAACATATCAAATTGAGTTTTGGGATCAGCTGCTCAGGAGTTTTAAGCTTTTGGGGCACATATAAACTACTTTACTTCGTGTGATCCCCGAGACATACACATGTGTATATATATACACATACATTTATATACATATACATATATTATTTGAATTCTTATCTGACATGTTTTCTGACATTCTATTCTGTTTGGCATTCAAATTTTGGCATTCTATCAGTGGCAAGGTCGCCATCGTGTGCCTGTGTCCGGGCTTCTGCAGGATCCTTTGTTGAAATCTAGAGAACCTCAGCAGGTTCAACTGATTTTAATTATGTGTTTTCTTAAACATCTTAAACATCCAGTTTGGTAGTTGCACAATTAAATCAGGCAACTGTAATCTATATATATATGGATAAATGATAACGTCACTGCTACACCATTGGAACTAGGTACTGGGAACCATCCCCAACTGGCGCTCCTGGCGCTGGCAGGTGATGAATGCCCACATCGAAACAGCCACTTGACAGCAACACTCAGACTTTTAGAAACCACAGATTTATATAAATTTATATAATTCCAAGCATATAAATCTAAAGTACATTTTTTTGGTTCACAGTATAGATTCATCTTAAATCCTGGCCTATCCTAATTCGGTTCTTGTCGTCGGCTTGATCCAAAAAAACAAATCGAGTTATACCGATGATCCAACTGTTGCCATTGATCAGGGGGATTTGACCCATGGGGAAAAAAGCCGTGGATTGCACATATTGGGGAAACCCCAACGGAACGATGGAGTTTTATGGCGAAAACAACACATCGGGACATCAAGTGAAAACCATTGCAAACCAGGGATTCAATGGGATATCATGCCGGATTTCATGGGATATACAATAGACTATGGAATTCCCCCATAAAGTGGATATTTTCTACCAGATTACAGGAGGGCTGTTCTTTGGGGATTTCTGGCTTTGAAAGGTGAATACGATGCTGTGTTTAGAGTTGATGGCACATTCATTCAGAAATGAAAACTAATAATATACGGAACGAGCGTTTCTGCTACTGCAGAAGAAAAAGTGTGGTTTTCTTCTTCCCAGTTTCTTCGAGTTTATTTTTATTTTAGTTATATAATTGCCTTCGGCAAGCCCACCGGCCATAGAGAGGTAGCCCCAAGGAGTTTAATGTACACTCTAGGTGGAAGCCGGAGAGAGAAGCAGAAGAGAAGAGAAGGGAAGGGAAGAGAAGAGAAGAGAAGAGACGAATACAAAAAAGAAGAATAACACAAAAGAAGAAAAAAAAACAATAACAAGAAAAAGAAGAGGACAAAAAAGAGGAAAAAGAAGAAGAATAATGAAGAAAAATATAAACAATAAAAAACAAAGTAGAAGAAGAACAATAAACAGAAAAGAAGAAGAATAACACGAACAAGAGCAAGAACAAGAAGAACAATAATAGCAAAAACAAAACAATAACAATAACAAGAATAATAATAAGAAGAAGAACAACAATAATAATGACAAAATGAAGAAGAAGAGGAAGAAGAAGAATAATGAGAAGATCAATAAGAAAAAGAAGAAGAAGAAGAAGAAGGGGAGACGAAGACAGAGCCGTAAAACGGACGCAGTTTGTGTAGCAAGTGCTGGCCGTAACAACCTGTTGACGGTATACCAAATTAGCACCGCCCCGAGCAAAGTAGCGCCAGACACTGTGTATGCGCCTCTGGCTTGACAGCAGACCGCTGCATGGAAGGGGACAGGGTGAAGCGGAGAGAGGTTGCCTTCAAGGGAGGTTGATGTGCACGCTAGGTGGAAGCCTGAGAGAGAAGCAAAAGATAAGATCAGATAAGAAGAGATTTAGACTTGTATACTACTTTTCCTGATGGGGAGGGGAAGGGAGGGGACACGATTCAGACGAAGCAAAAACGAGTAGCAAGAGAAAAAAGGAACAAGCACAAGCCAAGAACAGAACAGGAACAACACCTTCCAATCAGACACGCCGGCAGGCCGGCGGATAGTTGATTTGTTCCACATGTTTTTGGATCGGTTTGCGCTATTCTAATCTCCTTGAGAAGTACATAAACAAAAAGCACAAGTTTTTCCAGAAAAAGTCCCTTTCTGGGCTATGTTTTTCGCAGTTTATTTCCATTTATTGATTTCTTTGCGCTGTGTTCAATGTTTTCATGTTGCACACTGGCAAACAAAGATGGATTTATGACAGTATACAGTATATTGGTTATCGCCAGCTTCGCAAGATGCAATGACGGCGACGCTTGTGAAGATATCAATCAAGCCGTCACGCTTGGTCCTTGATGTAACATTTTGGGTGATGATTATTGCTGATGTCGGACTGGGAAAGAGGTAAGGGTTTTTGAGGCTGTTTTCTTTTATTAAAAATCCACGGCCGCAGATTGGGGGCGACTAGTTTTGGCACGGCAATGGCCCAGAAGCAGAGCGCTGAGCGCTTGAAAGCCGCACGCATCCGCACCCCAAGCTCATATAAGCAAATTTTCGTTGTTTCTGCTTCTGACTTGTGACCTATCCAGTTTATGTGCAAAAAGGGATTATCAGTTTTTGATGTTGGTGACGTTTCTTTCGTCGGAATCGAATTGTTCATATTCCACCTGCCATGCCACGTTGGACCCAAAATATCTTTGTCGTACGAACAGACGATGGCCGTGTGAAGACCCGCTCCGTGATTGCGATTAAAGAAATACGTATTAGATACAATAGCAAACCAATGCAAACCAGCATCGTTTATTTTGCCAGCAGATAAAATCATCCCCACAGACGCAGTGAATGTTTGGGTTTACCGCATTACTTGCTCTTCCCTGTCCCTGTCGGGACGGTTAACCCAAGCGATATTTTTCAGATACAATGGTTTCTGGGAACGTCATTCATCTTGGTAACTCCTGGTCATGCCCTGGGGTTCAACAACTGGATACGAAAACCCAAGAATTTGGCAGTTTTGGTTGCCATGGTTTTGGGGTGATCCCCCAAGTGGTTCTCCATTCAACGCAAGGAAACGAACCACCCCTAACCAAACAACACATAAGTCCTGTTTTTTTTTCCATGTTGTTGGTCGGTTGAACTTTGCATTTTGGGGTACTTGCCCCCACTGGGCCCCCACTGGGCCCCCATGTCAATCAGTTTTGGCGCGGCAAATCATCGAATTCGATTCTGGCGCAATTTCCGAACGACTGCCCGTGTGTAATAAATAAGGCGTTCATGTTTTTAAGATAGGCTTGGGTCGCAACCACTTCCCACTGCCATGTTTTTTTTTGCGTTTGTTCATCCCATTGTATTCCATGGTAATTATTCCCTTTGTTCTTTTCAAGGTGAATTTGTTCTATCATTGATTGTACTCCCCACTTATTGTTGCTTAACCCAATCCCCAATATCTCCAGCAAACTTGTATTTTAACACCCCAATATGCCAATATACGCGTTTTCTGAACCCGAATATATGCGTTGTCTGACAATATATATATATATATATATATAATATTTCTCCTACTTAAGCATACTTAAGCGTGGATCATAAAATTCATACGGTGATTACCTCCGCTTACTACGAGGATGATTTCCTAGTAATAAACTTCAAACGTTGGATTCTACCCTCAATGCTGGATTATGCCCCTTATGGATGCTTATATATTGGTTATGCAAGTCTTTTTGGTGGTCCCTTTTTGGTAGGTGCCTGGTACCTATATGACATACCCCAGTTATGAAGTGAATATCCCCAGTTTTATCTAGGATTTTTATCTCCATATGGGTTTGAAACCACTTGAAGACTTACAGTTCCTGCAGGCAGATCCAAAGTGTAACTACAACATACTACAACCAAATTGGCAAACACAACCGGAATGGCCGCTGGGTTTTTGTTGATGGAAGACCTGTTTTGTTGATGTATCAATAAACCCATCGACTAGGTGGATATATCTCCCATAACGGAGCTTTCATCAATTTTCATCCACTATTTTGATGGCCATGTGTGTGTGCACATAGTTTTCAAACACACCCATTTGCCATAGTGTTACTGGTATGTGTATGTATAATTGTACATATATATATACATAAATATTATAATATATATATATATATATATATCATTTTTTCCGTTGTAACAACTCATTTTAAATTGGTGATATCTCCATTATTGGCAATATGTTTCACGTGAACACCAGTATATCCCATAAATGTTTGATTATTTGTATATATATGTTGTTACTGTATATCCCAACATATTTCATTATTATATATATATATATATATATATTATCATTAATTATTGTCTGTACATTTAATTGTGACATTAACATTATTATTGTACACATATATATATATATACATATATGTATGTGTATATGTTACGATCATGGCCCACTATATACCATTAAAATGAATTTATGAATCTAATATCATTATTGTCCATGAATGGGCAATATTCAAATAATCACTATATCAGGTTTATATATAAAGGTTGATCTATTGACAAAATCCCATAAAATTATAGTTGAACAATAGTCATTTTCATTATCATAATAATAGTCCCATAATAATACCCCAGAATAGTCCCATATTTTCATAGTCCCATAATAATAATAGTCCCATATTTTCATTGATAAAAGAATAGTCCCATAATACCCCAGAATTTTCCATGGCACAGGCTCTGGCTCCGCGGCTCTCATCCTCCTTTCGTCTAATCGACTTCTTCCGGCTCGGCGGCGCCATGCCGGAGGAGGTCGTCCGACAGATGAGTTCGTTGTGGACTGGGATGGTTTTTGGGACATGATTTTTGGTTTGAACATTGAAACATAAGGGTTTACTAGGAAAAAACAATGGGGATTTTTGAGGCACAATGTGGATTTAAGCACGAACATCATGATTTAAGGCCGCTTCACCATCAAAAACATGACTATAGGTGAGGTGAGGAATTGGCAAATAGATTGTGGCCGAACCACCGAAAACGGGATGACAAAACATGAAAAATCAGATCATCCAAAAATTTCATGAAATAGGGGTTGGTTTTGAAAACACAAATACGAAACATGGTGATACACAAAGACTGGAAAACCTTTGGTTTACCTACGGAAACAGGTATAGACTTGGTATATATTATATTATATTATATTATATTATTATATATATATTATTATATATATATCCAATAAACATGGTGATAGATGGGGGCATATATAGGCCCCCCAAATTGGGGATGTTCACCCATTGAAGGCCGGTTCCTCAGATCCAGGTAGTGAGCGGACATGGATCTCAAATGCTGAACCTCTGGGTTGCCTTGGCTGGGGATCCGGTTGAATGCTGAGAGGTGTGGGTAGAAAGGGTTCCGGGTAGAATCGGTCGAAAAGATTTGAGGCCCAGTCCTGTTGTTTCGATTTTTTGGTGTTGTACTGGACTAGTTGGTTTGATTTCTATACTGTGTATATGGAGGTTTCCCACAATAGAGGATCCCCAAGTCACCATGGGTTTCGGTACAAACATAACATATACTAAAATGGTCTAATGACTTGCATGATTCGGGGTATCCCTATTTTAGGAAACCTGCACATATATTATAAATATATATATATATTATACATAATTATATACTTTGTCTCAGGTGTACAGATGAATTATATTCACCTCACGTCGCTAGTAGGGGTAGCTATCACGAAATGACCTTATTCCAGGTGGTGATTTATCAGGTTTTATGACATTTTTTAATATGAATCCATGGACCAGAAATATCTATAAACCAACTAGAAGCTTTGACATAAGATCTTGGGAATTAATCATCATCCTGAAGTAAATTCGATATCACCCAGTTCCAACTTATTTGTATTTTGTCAATTGAGGATGGTGACATTTAGGATCTCTGTAGGGCTCTATGTACTCCTGGCTGGGTGATTAATATTCCATTTAGTGGTGTCTAGGGTTGATGGTTTGCATAGGAAGAAGGGAAACAGGGTTCCAAGAAGATCCAAACCATTGACCCAAACCACTGGATTGAGGGGTAGATTTCCGACGTGAATATTCCTCAAGGTTCATAGTCTCAGTTTTGAATCTTAGAACCACTTCAGTATCCATGCAGCAGCTTGTATTCGCTCATCATATTAACCAGACTAACCATATTGTTTCACTATTGCCAATATGTGTGCCCCATTAATACGGTGTTGGTTCGTACCCCATTAAATCGCATAAACGATCCCATTTGCGAGTTTTCTATGTATATATATATATATATGTATATTTATATATAATTACATATTCACATATAATACATACCATACCATACCATACCATACCATACCATACCATTACATTACATTACATTACATTGCATACATACATACACACACATGTTTTGCATCCTCAGATATTGTAAATTATACCCCGATTAGATCGCTTAGAATTGCCATATCTGAATTTTTGTGGAACAAGATCCAAAACAAATGCCACCAGGTTTGGACAGTGATGTTCAACGCCATGTGTCCTGCCGAACTGGCCGCGCCGGGCAGCTACGCCTACTGGGAGGGCGCTTTGTGTTCCGGGACAGAGGCGCAAACAGCGGATTGGGTGCGACTTTGACTGGCCATTTTAAGTGGGCTGAAAATCTGGTACTATCTATGGGTTTAGGACAAGAATATGGGAACCCCCCCAGAAATTTTACAACATGGTGGTAAAAGTGAATATAATGGGCAATCTTATGGGTTTATAACCTTTCTATCATGGAATATTGCGGTCATTTATCGCACTTGGTCACGAGCCCACAATGGGGATGTTCAAGAAATAACATGCTATTTGGATCTATTTGGATAATTCATAGCGACTTCACTACAACGTCACCAGAATGATGATTATGATTGAGAGAAACATCCCTGGTTTGCTGAACTTTTCAGGTGAATAAGTAGTTCTTCACAGCCAGAAATGGATTCTGGAACAGTTCAGGAACAGTTTCAGGAGGATTTCCTGTTTTGTTTGTTAAGAAACAACAAGGGAAATGTCACTTTGAGTGGTACCGTTTTAGTGGGACAAAAAGGGACCCAGACTATGGATTGGACCAGCCAAAAAACGGTATATCTGAGATGATATGAGCTGAACATGAAGGACACTACCCTTTCGCGAGCTGAAACTATTGGGACCAAGGAGCATGGTCAATAGCCACACCAAACTGGGCCACTGGGCATCGCGGCATCGGTTTTTTTCCCAAACTGGGCATCCATGGGCCGGCAGTGGCCAGGCTCGTTGGGAGAACTGCCCCAAGTACTACCCAAGTTGTTTGGACGGTCCTCGATGTGAAAAGTGGGCCCCTTGGCACAGGTCCTCGATGGACCAGGGGAGATTGATGCAGCTGGGGTGGTGTCGGCTCCCCATGTTTGTTGTATATGATGGAAATAAGGATACAGTACCATACAATACCATTGGATATAACATAACATACAGCCCGCACCCTCCATGCACCTGTGACCCCAGATCCAGCATTGTGTGCTGCCCAGATCACATTCGCAAACTTCACATTCCATTTTCATGTGATAAACCCAATGATAAAGCATCCGCAAGTCAGCATTTTTGTGGCTATGGCAATGCCCTCAGTCATGGTAGGTCCCCAGTGGCTGGATTTTCAGTGATGCGTCGCTGCGCCGTGGCAGGAATGCATGAATGGCGTGAAGTGCACATTGACCGCTGGCGATCCCCCAGTGGCTGGCAATACGGCCGAGGCTATGTGTCTTCTGGCAAGGACTTGAGATGACGACTCCTCGATGACTGGGATGATGATTTTAAAACATGATTAATTAGGATTTAGATTTTGAGATTATTTATATGGCTATGGATCAATACCTATTAATACCATTTTTAGTGGGATGAACATCCATTTACCAGCTATTTTGATGTTCACCAGGGGTACAAGGTTTTGACACACTGCCATATGACCAAAAAAGAATGGGGCATAAACGAACAATATGGGATATTGATGGATATTGGTTGATATTGCAGACCGTTGCAGACCCTAAATGCAGCAGGGGAAACAAAAACCTCAGCGGCAAAAAAACTATTAAAAACTTGCACCCTGACGAGCCCTGGACGTGCAGTTTTCCACCATGGGCACAAGCAGGTAATACCCCCCCAGCCGCAGTTGAACTTGCGTATCAGTCTGGATTGATAAGCCGCCTGGGTTATGCCAAACCCACCAGGTTTTTGTTCATCCCCATACACTCGCTGGCAGTGTGAAGGATACACATCATCTCATATCATCCGCGGGCTTCATCAGCCTGGGAGCACTGAGGCAATGACGCGGTGAACATTTCTTCCTTCATGACAGCTGTTGCAATGGCCCCTAGCCCTAGCGACCTGGCGGATGGCTGCTACAACTCGAAACTTGGCATTCTCTCGAAGCCCGGAGGTTTCAAGAAGTCTCCAAGTGAGACTCAAATCTGGGATGATTGGGATGTTTTTCCCATTCTTTAAGGTGATTTTCTGCAGAAAAACACCAGATGACACCAGGAAATTTTCCTGGGATTTCCCTTCAGGACTCGTTCGCCTCAACACCAGCCGTGATCGCTCCCGTCAGGAGAGGTTTGCGCAGCCGAATTTGGTGTCAGCAAGGTCGCTGGAGCTGCATCAAGCTGCATCAAAATATGGAGGTTTCCTAAGTCATGTGGAGGTACCCCCAAATCATCCATTTCAAAGATAAACCATCATAAACCATCCACTTTGGGGTACCCCCATTTCAGGAAACCTCCATATGTGTTGTCATTGAAATTCGGCAGCAAGTCTGCGTTTAAAGATGATGATTTTTCATGATTTTTCAGCACCCAACAATCAAACATGAGTTCTTACCCCCTTTTGGAATTGGTGCAATTACGGATGCTGTAATGTAATTATATATATAATATAAATTACCCCCGAGAAAAAAACAGCAAAGTATGTTAGCAGGATGGTAGTTCGACGATGGTTCCCACATAATTTCCAGTTTTCCAAGGTATTGTCTTCATTGTTTGTGGCTATAGATATATCAATGACCGATCGTTAGGTCTCTCCAGCTGCCAAGTCAGCATTTCGAGCAAATGGAAGGTTTATAATGTTGGTTTAATTAAAGAATGAACGGGATAATTAATGGGATAACCAAGGATAACCAAATGGGATAATTCATTGGATAATCTGAAACTAATGTTGGTTTTGTAACAGCATTGATCAATTGGTATTTGCAGTAATCAATGGGATGACTGTCATGTTTTGTCCTAATGTTCCAATGGATCAATGGTACTATAGAGGTTTAACCCCAACATCCAAACCGACCCGACTTTTTTCCAGGACTTGGGTACCCTATTAACCACAATTGTCAGACAAACCAAATGAAATAAACAGATATATATAAGCAGTATATGCGTCTCCGCAATCCACATAAAGCTGGTATTGGATGATGTTAGATGGTGTTCATCCCAAATCTCACGATAAAATGGTCAAAATTTACGGCCCAAAAAAGCAGATGTTGGTCCTTTCTAGTATGAAGCATCCATTGTTTTCTTTTATAATCCAAAAACTAATCAAACGCATGTCCACGTGCTTTTATATCATTTTATATCATATGTCCAGGTTTCCCACTTTTCTATCGAGTTCTCAGGGTATCTGGGTTGGGAGCCACAAGGACTTTTCGCCAGATAGCCATCTCTACAAATCTCCTGAAAATGATCTTTATATAATTATATATATATATATATATATATATATTCATTTATACACATTGTTTGGGGCCATGATACTATATACATTATATATACATGATACATCTGGCAATCCTCCCAAGGTTTGGAATGGCTGTTACCCATTGTCACAGTGCTTGGGGCTGTGAGTTTGGCCTTGGCGCAGTTTGCCTGGGCCAAGTTAGGGCCCAAGCTGCTGGGACGAAAGATCAGCGAAACATCTGTGTTTTCACCAGGAAGAGATGGCAAGCTGTAAAAAAACAACAATAAACAGTTGTCTATATAATATGTTGATATGTATATATATATATATATTATAGTTTTATTTTATATAGTATATAATATATAATATATGATATATAATATATAATATATAATATATAAAATAATAATATAATCACATAATAATATACAAAATATATGATTGAATAATATATATATATATGTGTATTACATGTATTGTATATTATAGATATAAACCAATCATGTTGTTCACTACATGTTTATTAATTGTGTATGGTGTATGTTACAGTATTGATGATTTATGGGAGAAATATCTAGATGTTAATGGGGTTAACTCACAGACTCTAAAGCCAATGTCATAAATCATCCCATTAGCCGATCATTTAAGTGTCATGTTAAATCATCCCAGTCATAGGGTTACAATTGCATAACGTTTTATTGGGGAATGTTCTCATAATGTGGGTTTACATGGGTTCACCACATCTAAAATTGTTTATACCACAGATTCTTTCGAGATTTAGTTTGATTCTACTGCTACGTCTTTTCGAGATGGGGTGCCAAAAAGGGGATGTAAACTTACAGCTGGCTGAGAGGGTTGATTGATGCTGATGGCATTGGAACATCAGAGGCATTTTATGGTCAACCAATTGCAACTCTATATCCACTGCGGAATGTCTACAGTACCCTCTGGTAAATTAACATAGACCCTTGCAGATAGGGGTTGGAAGATTAGTTTCCATTAAAAATTGGTGATTTTCAAGGTCTATGTTTATTTACCAGAGGGTAATGCATAGAGATCTTATCACTAACTCATCTCTTGGCATACACAGGGGCAGGGACTGGTGGATATTTAAGCTTCTCCATCGGGTAGCTCCCCTTTTAGCGATGGAAAAGGTGTTGGTTCGGAATGAGGCAACGTATGGCAAAATGGTGATTAATGTAGCCATTGAAGATGGGGGTAGAATGGACAATTGCGAGATAATGGGGATTATAATGGCATATATATATATAACCAGGAAAATGATATGGGTATGTCTGAAAATGGGAGTCTGGGCCCCACCAAAATTAGTTTTAATATGTTTCCATGGGAAAGATAATGGTAAACCATGTAATCTTGGTCCGCTTGATTTTCAGACATACCCACATATCCCTTGGACGTTCATTATTCAAAATATTAGGAACGGAACTTCAAATGTTCATGATATTCATTTATGTATGTATATATATATATATATAAATATGGGGTTTCCAAAAACGGGGGGTACCCCCAAATGGATGGTTTAGAATGGAAAATACCATCTATAAATGGATGATTTGGGGGTACCCCTATTTCAGGAAACCACTCCATATATATTAATTACAGATATTATTGCACATCTCCATCCTCCCAGCTGCTAAAATCAAAGCTGGATCCATCCCAAGCTGCATCTCAGGAAAGAGGTGCAGAAGAAAGAAACAACGATGCTGAGCAGAAATGAACGACTGACTACAGCTGTATGGTCACGTGATGTCATAATCATATGTCTACACTCACCAGTTGTGTAGATATATATATATATTATTATCCTTATATTATGACACAATCCAGCTACACATATCATGTGAAATATAATGATGTGTTGTATATATACATATGGTATTTATGCACATACAGTATGTTATTTATGATATTTTGTGTTTATATATTTATACATATGATATATTTATGTAAATCAAAACTAGATAATTATAACTGTTTTTGCCTATATGTTGTACTAAATCATGTACGATACACTACATATATCTATATTATATATGTTCACCTGATTACATTATTGATTATACAACAAACATCAACAAATACAATGTATGAACGTATCTTGAATACCTTCACTTATATATTCTCGATATTTTATACATGCATGCATGCATCCGTCCATACCTCCATACCTCCATACCTCCATACCTACCTACCTACCTACCTACATACATACGTACATACATACATACATCCATCCATGCATGCATGCATGCATGCATACATACATACATGTATATAGCCATATGTTTATCTAGATATGAAACCCGATGCGTCTGAATACGGAAGGCTTTGATCGAGACTGGCCCAAAGATATATAGTTTTAATTAGTACCACTCGTAATTTAGATAATGAAAATACAACTATAAGGACGTATGATGAGTATATTATGACGGGTCAGCGGCGGGAGTATAGCCTTAGTCACATCGGTATCAAATTTGAATCGCTTCACCATCTCCGGACAAGGTATAAACTTATACCTTTGGATTTTGGCTTCATACTATCTGGAATCTATCGCTAGCATATCATCTGAAAGAAATCGCATTGTTTGCAGTAGCTCTTATCATAAAAGCTGCATTATTGTTTAACTCATCACTAGCTCCCATTAAAATATGGGCATTGCGCTCTAGTCATGTTAACTTTAACCTACATACTCTAGTACTTTCACGTGTCTCAAAATGACATGAAACATCCCTTAAATTGATTGGACATGTTCAACTGACAAATCACGGTTAGGATGCATGCCCAAATCAAGGAGGCATGGCATGGTCACTTCTGAAACGTTACAACTTGTCATGTTCAGTCATATATGTAAACTAACATAGCTATTGAACATGGCCATTTATAGTGGATTTACCCATTAAAAATGGTGATTTTCCATAGCTATGTTAAATTACCAGAGGGTACATGCTTAATATTGAAGTTGTCATTCATTTCCAGTGTTTGTTCACTTTAAAAAAACACAGAAAAACCCAGTAAATAGCTCCCAAATACGAAAAACAGGTTTACTTTGAAAATGAGACCAACAACTAAGAAACGAACACACCTTCTTTCGAGCCCATAATTCTTGGTTTGCAAGTTCCATAGCCATATTACCCCCGAACTTGCTTCAACCACCAGTCTTTTTTGAGAGAAATCCTGGTTGGTGGTTTCAAACATGTTTTATTTTCCATTTCATAAATGGGATAATCCTTCCCATTGACTTTCATACTTTTCAAGATGGTTAAAACCACCAACCAGTAGTGCTTATTTATGGTTTATTGATGGGATAATTAATGGTTTACTAATGGGTTATGGGATATGAAACCACCAACCAGATAACTCGCGAGCGGATTCATCTTCGATTTCCGCTCCCCTAGGATGGATGGAAAGCCAAAGCCAGTGGCACCCGAAGTGCGTGAGGCACTGGTAAACCGATTGGGTCCGGTGAGTGTTGGTTGATAGGGTTTATGGTCATGATAACTATATAACACTATAGTTAGATAAGGCTATAAACCAACTGATAGCTAGGGGGCCCGCCTTGTGTATATATATTTATATATATATATTTATTTGGTACAGTACTGAGGATATAATAGTATACTATTTGCTATGCATGGGGATATATGTATGAATCTATGAAACCTAGCCAGCTATTTGTTTTCAGGGAATCAACATTTGGCATGTTAATTACGTTCATGAGAAATTTGGATAGATGGAAGTGGGTTTTCGTTCGGCTCCATCTAAATAGCTAGGAACTGGGTTATACCCCGATATCTCCCGTAGTGTTACATCGTAATTACTTGAACTGTAGCGGCCGGGCAATTGAGGTTCCCTACATCTTGATGTTATTATTTTGTTTGTTGTCCATTAAAAGGTCGGATTTTCCCAGCAATATCCCAGTAATATATCAATGAATCAAATATGCTCCGGTAAACAAACGTTGCTGCGTTTTTTTCAAATTTGACAAAGCTAACCTAGCTACCAGAATAGGCTGCCAGACTAGCATGTTCCCCAGAGACCCTTAGCTATTGGACAGTATCAACAATAAACAAGTAAGAAACAGTTTGAACAGGAGCCCACTAACATAGCTATCATTTTACAGCACTCAAGGTTTTTTAACATAGAAGGAAGCCCACTAACATAGCTATCATTTTACAGCACTCAAGGCACTCATGGTTTCCAACATAGAAGGAAGCCCACTAACATAGCTATCATTTTACATCACACAAGGTTTCCAACATAGAAGGAAGCCCACTAACATGGGCTTCATTTTGTTCTCCATCGCACGTATAACTTAGATTTATCAAAGAAGGGCTCTGCGAACATAGCTATCCATTTTTCCTTGGACATTACCATTCTACAGCAAAACTGACCTGGAAAATGTTTGTGTTTTACTAAAGTTTTTAAAGGGACGTTAGTTTACCAGAGTGTAGTTCCCTTCATTCAAGTCCATTCATTTCCATACATTTTGATTAGGCTGGGTTTTCGCAGTACTATCCCACTGACGGCCTCTAACAATTGTTCATTCTGGCAGAGGATCAACAAACCTTCTGAACCCTTCGTCCTCACCATCCAAACCCTGACTTGGTGAGAACATAGAGGTAGCAGCTAGGGCCAAGGTGCTTTGGCTCAAAACATACCAATGGACCCGTAACTGGTTCCTTTTGCTATACACCCATAGTTCACCAGTTATTGTATGTTTTTGTTGGGCGGTTTGATCAATTTTTGGCAAACCCTGGGCATGATTTCGGCCAGGTCTCGCTGTTGAAGCAGACAGCAGATCAGAAGAATCAACCGGCACCTTGGCACTTCGGATTCTGCTGGCAGTTCCAAGGGAGGTCTTTCCATCCTCAGTGAACAACGAGAAAAAGCATCTTGCAGTTCAGTTGAGTCCATGTTCCGTCCAACCTGGACGTTGCTCCACATACAATCATCCTCCTCCTTATCATCATCATTATCATCATCACCAGTGCCAACTCATGTGGAATTGGGTAATACCGTCGACTTATATGTCTTATATTCATAAGGAATCATAATTCCCCTTCCCTTTATGACAAATATGTTGAATGGTGTAATCACATCAACTTATCTTCATAAGGGATCAACAAATCCACCACCCCCTCTGACAAATACGTTGAAAGGGGGTAATTACATCAACTCATCTTCATTAACTACCAAAAATCCAACACCCCCTATAACAAGTATGTTGAATGGTGTAATCACACCCACTTATCTTCATAAGAGATCAACTTCCGCCACCCTCTCTGACAACAATGTTGAATAAGGAATAACGTCAACTTATCATCATCAGGGGCCAACAAGCCACCACCCCTCTGACAAATATGTTCAATGGGGTAACCACATCAACTTTTCTTCGTAAGGGATCAACAAATCCACCAGCCCCTCTGACAAATATGTTGAATAAGGAATACTATTTATCAACCAACTTATCTCCATAAGGGATTTAAAAATCCACCACTCTCTTTGACACACATGCTGAATCTGATTATAGTACCAACATATATTCATCATGGATCACAACATATTCCACCTCCTATGGCAGATATGCTGAATCTGATAATAGCACCAGCTTATCTTCATAAGGGATGATGATGATGATGATGATGATGATGATGATGATGATGATGGTCATGATGATGATGGCCATAATGGCCATGATTGCGGTGATGGTGATGATGACGATGACGATGATGTTGATGTTCATGGTGATGATGATCATGATCATGGATCATGGAACATGGATCACATGTACATCTACATATTGAAAGTCCACTGACATGGCATTTCAATAATACGCAACCTTTCCACAATTCCGGCGCGGAGCAACGTCAGGGTTGCACAGGGTTGCACAGGGTTGCACCACCATGTTTTATCAGTGAACATCAGCAACAACAACAACAACAGCAACAGCAACAACAGCAACAACAACAACAACAGCAACATGTTGCTGTTTGATGTTCCAACCTTCGTGAAAACTCCCAGTCTTTGGAATGGGATCCCTTATCATGAAATTGAAAGTCCAGCTCCCACCTGAGTTCGTGGCGTTTATGATAAGATCGCTGGATGGTAAAATGGGATGATCATAAACAATCATACCGATATATATATATATATAAAGCAATATATATATATATATGCAGTATATGATTGGATTTCCCAGTATATGATAATTCTCAGTAGATTGGATAGTACAAGGCCATAAAACATCGTCAATCAACAGGGGTTTAACACTGCCTGGTTTCAAGGCCAGAACGGAGCCCGGTAGCCCCGCGTGCTCCGAACGCGCAGATGTGCCTGTACCTTTCGCGGGGAGCCAACAACCAAAAAATGGAGGAACATTGGAAAATATGGGAAACATGGGAGTTTACCAACACAACTTTAGATTGTTCCATTTGGAAAATAATAGTTTTTTACACTGCCAGCACGAAGATAAGGACGGACAAACGAAAAAACATAAAATTCCAGTCGAATCACCAATCACGGAGTCTAAAAAAAACAATAAGTGCAATTGGGAATTGAAAAAAACAGGGGGGTTGGATGGTTGAACCAAGAAAAAACAGCAAAACATGTGGGAAGTAGAAGTACCTCATAGTACCCCACTTGCCCACTTTTTGGACCCAAGTCTATTGCATTATATTATAGAGTATTGCATCGGTTTTAACCCAATGGTAATCCCAGTGAAAGCCAACATGGAACCCATGTGGCCCATGTGCACTTTCCAGGTCAAAGAAAATGACTATGTACAGTCCTAGCCACCAACATGAAACATCCTCCTAACAGTCGCCACGTCCACTTTAATGATGACTAATTATCCTGCTGTCAAATGGCTTGAGTATTCTTTTCGAATAGTTCCGCATAAAGTCCGACAAATTGTAGATTTCCCACTTGTGGCTGTGGATTATATGTGGGTGAATCATATGGGTCATAATATGAATATCGGTTACAGTTACTATACAGTTTTACATGGATTATAAATGATTATACGGTAAACCTATTAAAAACTCATAAGTAGAATGGCAAACTGACTGAACCTTGCCGTGATACCCAGGTGACCTTGCAGATCAACGAAATTCGGGATGACACCAGCGAACTTCCCCATGACAGGCAAGAAACATCAGCAGTTGTTGATATTTTCTGGTTGAAGTACTATTTGTTGTGCACAATTATGGTCATGCTAAACCTCATACTGAATCATAATGGTCTCATCTACGAAATTCAAGTGTTTAGTTCCAAAGGAAATACTTAATGTATACTAATGTTACATAGTGTTACTGTATACATGTCAAGCGTATGACTGAAAGTTAGTTGCAGGAATGTTACGTATACATAATATAATATATATATATATTATTCATATATATATAATGAAATTTATAAGTTCTGCATACACGTCCACTGGGTACGGATTTTCTGACATTATGTCCTTCCTTCTTAAAGCGTAGTCGATATCCTTATTACCTCCTTAATCATTGCAGCTACTGTAGCAGCCGGGTTCAACCAACATCAAATAGGTGGGGTTTAGCAACCGGGATACGTGTGGCTGGGAGCAGCATAGACACCTGGCTGAAGTGACTGAAGTCATGAGACGATCCCTGCTGTAAGAGTTGAAAAAAGACGCTTGGCACTTGATATATCTTGATATACTTGATATTCTTTACTATCCATAATGAAATGATCCAGCAAGGTAGCAACATACTTTGTAACGTAACTTGTATCATACCCACAAGCAACCAGGATGAAACAGGGAGTATTTCACGCAGCAGGATTTCTTTGGATCATAGCAGGAAGACTTCGGAGGTGGTTTGAGGTTTCAGCTGTACTTTCAGTCAACAAATTTAGGAGAGAATATCCTTAAACAAAAAAAACATGACCAAATATAATGAGGTAGCTAATGGCTAAAGAAGATCCACACCACTCAAAAAAACACCACAATATCCTAAGGGTTGAGATTCCTTATCTTTCGAGTGGTCAGGTCCCAGGGGGATATCACGAAATCGGAGACACACAACACGCTGGCAACCTGGTGGCAGGACCGTTGAGACCTGGCTTTATTGAAAAAGGACCTAAATGAACCGTTTTTATAAATAGCCGAAAAACGATGAAAAAAGTAGTATGTGGTGATTCAACTATAATTTATATATATATACATGTACTGTACAATTGTACATGCATGTATGATTATACATGTGTTTAAGCATGAAGATTGAATGCCAGTGTTGATTGGTTATGAACTGAGGGTTACACTGGGTAATGTATGCGGGATTTGATATCCCATAATTCACGGGATACTATAATTCTTGACCAACCAGTATAATGGGATGGGATCGGGGGTCATTTTCATGGCTTAAATGGAGATATACAAATAACCTCCCAATGAACATGACGACCCTGCCATGAGTTGAGGGTTGGAAGACAATTCTCTCCAAGTGAAACAGAAACTATTCTCGAGCTGTTTGTGGATGGAAAACCGGAATCTAACCAAGCAAACAGTGATTAAACCATGAGGGAGATAGAGATTTACCCAACAATGGTTTTGTCCGAAAATTGGGAACTTATCCCAGGCATGGCAAAGTCAATAGGGCAAAAAAGTGGTTTAAATTTAAATACCTTTTTGTGGGGGATAGCATTTGTTTTACAGCAACACCATTTCAATGGAACAAAACATCATAGTTCATCGTATTTTTATGGACATCAGTGACATCAACGGGGGGGTTACCCCTCTATCAACCCATGTTGCGGATTCATCAGAACGGGAAATACTAAGATACATGACTTCCACGGACCAATGGACCAATGGCTGGATCTCTACATTCCAATTACCCCTTAAAATCACCAATTTTTTTTTGTGTGGGTTTTATTTCCCATGACCACATGGTCATGGATGGTAGGAAACTATCTATTGAATCTATATAGTACACCTGGCAGAAGACGTCAGATTCCTGGAACCAAAACATTAAAATCAGAACCGTCCAGATGGTGCTCCCATGATGGCCCTACCATTCCGAAGCCTGCTTTTTTGGGATGTAGAAAAAATGTTGGCCCTAGCATGATAGAGCCATTTCTGGTTGGTTGCTTAGGAAAATCCATGAAAATCCACACTGGCCCTATCCAGAAGTGGAGCCAAAAAAGGGCCAGCATGTCTTGCATTGTCTTGCCATCGCTCGGACTTCTTTTGGGCTTTCTCAGGAAAAGTCAAAGACTCAGCATCTTGGTTGTTGGGATCCCTCTGGAAAGCGCAGCACGTTTTTTTTGGGATCACAGAAATTGTCCCAAGTCGTTCCACCAGTTGATGGTCCATGCGATGGTTCCGTGGTTAAGTCGGTTTGAGTAGGAACAGCACGACGCGAAGAGGACAAGACTAGTCAAGACTTTTTAAAGAGTCAAGACATAGTGAGACTATCACCAACATGGGGATGGAGGATAGAAGATCACCGACTCTTTTGAAAATACGGAAAGGAAGGTCAGCTCACTGAATTATCAGGTCTTTGTCCTCAGGGTTTTCAGGGGTTAGTAGACATCCCATGTTGTTCGGATAGTTGGAGACGATCGATTATATGAACCCCGAGGGTATCCCACTCTCCGGCCAAAGTGGCAAAGTATAGGGACTCCATAGAGCCAACAAATTCATCAAAATTCGGCGAATTAGCATGTCATGATTGAGCTCACTTTGATCCCAATTTCTTGTTGGTGATAGACATTGAGCTGTTAAGTCCCATGGATCCAGATAGTTCCTGAGAAGATACTTAACCGCCCAGATCATACTCCGAATACTTCCTCAGAAGTTATAGCTAGATTTATGTAGGGAATACATTGGAGTAATATTAAATTTCCACATTGTGTGGTCACAGACATGTGATTTCATCCCCTATTTTTTATTTTGTTACCATGGTTTCTTTGGGGTGTTTAAAATTAGGGAGGTGGGAGTAATTATACTTGGCTATAAGCCATTATTTCTTCAGCCCCTTATACATATATCCCATGAAATCACCTTTTTTAGTCTTTATAGTCTTTAAAACAACACATTAATATTGGAGGGAAGGGATTAACCATAGTTAGCTAGCTATAAATCAGTATATACCCTCCATATAGTTACAGTTTTCATTAAACCACCAACGTTCTAAACAATCATTTACCCCTTCAACCAGAGTACTCCCTTGAAACACTGAGGAAGACCGAGAAGTCCGAGGCGCGGATAAGGACATGGGGAAGGAATTCAGGAAAAATCACGGCATGTTAAAAAGTTTAACCAACTAATAGATAGATAGATAGATAGATAGATAGATAGATAGATAGATAGATAGACTAGATAGATAGATAGATAGATAGATAGATAGATAGATAGATAGATAGATGTGTATGTGATCATATATGTGGGGACTCATATTATATGATTATATGTGTTTCTTCTTCCGGGTGAAAACGTGGTCAGATAAAACCAAAAACTGATAGGTGAGTGGACATGATTTGTTCTTTCGTTGGTGGAAATACTTTTTTGTTCTGCCAGAAATGGGTGGTGAAGTTTTGGTTCTTTAAGATAGCACATATCAAAACCCAAAACAATCGATAAAAACAAAGGTCATAAAGAAAACATGCGAGGTCCTACGGCGACTGGTAGTCTGTGGTCAAATTGACTGGTGAAAGTTTTGTTGATATTGTCCATGGGATTTTTTCCACTTTTTGGAAAGACTGTGTCATGCCCTTTTGTTCAAGGAGTATCCCCAGGCTATGTGGATTCAGATAACAATACTTGTTTCCTGAAGTTAGGATCTATCGTTGAAACTGATTACAGTCCACAACATGTATGGAATATATCATATAAGTATTTACTTTCAACTATAATATACTGTATTGTAAATTTACTATAAGTATTTATTATATATAATAATTAATTACTTTAAATATATATATAGAGACAATTATTATGGAGGTGTATTATCACTTGGCTTTACCTTACCGCACCGGAAAGCTATTTCGGATCCTGGGAGATCTGCCGTTTCCATAGCTTGGTGCCACGGAAAATCACCATTTTCAAGAGGTAAATCATCGAACTAAATGGGCCATTTATAAATGTACCAGGTGTACCATAGCTAAGTTAAATTACCAAAGGGTATACATGATATATAAGACCTGGCCACACAGTTTGATGTTCAATTTGTCTTTTGTTTGTATGGCTTTACATCCCAACCTTTAACAGTGGATCAACAAACCACCAAGTTGGGGCAGCTCCAAATCCACCGATGAAAATCGCCATTCTCGGACACGTCTTTTATTATTTTGTGATAGGTTGCACTATGAAAAAATATCTTCAGTATCATCATCATCATCATCATCATCAGCAGCAGCAGCAGCGTCATCATCATCATCATCATCATCATCATCTCCGGACGATGTTTTCAAAGAACCCCCTATCTTTGTTGGTTCCTCACCAATCTTTGGTGCTCAAAACGCCGGTTGGATTCTCACGATCGACCTGGGAATTTTGGGGATGTGAACACTGGCTATTTGGAGATTTAACCGTCAAAATGGCAGAGTGAACTTAGTAAACCATAGTAAACGTAGCATTTCATTGGACCTTCTGGCATCATTTGGGGGTATGATTTCTTATCAATAGTAAGCATGATAGTTTTTTTTTTCCGACTACTCCCACACCTTTCTCAGCACCATTCTTTCGACTGAGGCGCCTGTGTCCAACCCGGCGTCCAGGGCTGCCTCGCGCAAGGGAAGCGTCGTCGTCGGTTGCGAGGACGGCACGATCCCAGCGAAATGATGCACCGTGGAGACATGGGTTTTCTTAATCTGGTGTTAAATCATGTGGTGGATGGAAGAAATCCTGCACCAGTTGATGGTTTATCCCATTATTTATAGGGATTCAACCATCCTTTTGGTGATGCAGGATTTTGAAACAATCCACAGTGTCTCATCAACATGTGTGATTTGATCAACCTCAGATGCTGGCATTATATTTGGGTTTTGGTTTGCAGTCATTTGCCCAGGCAGATGATTATAGGTCGACTGGGTTGTATTTCTTTATTGCTTTGTGGGAGGCACCATAGATAAGCGTGAAACTGACATGGGTGATGTCCCATTGAGGGTCATAAATAGATGATTCCACAGAAACTTGTCACGTTGCTGGACCAGATCACACAGCACAGGTGGATAAAAACGACCAAAAACAGCTAAAAACAAAGCTCCTCTGTTGTAAACATCCCGCAGACATCGCATTCCCTTGATTCATATGCTCCGCATTATTTTTAGCCAATAGATTTTGGCATCACCCTGGAATCAACCCTGGACACGTTTGATGTTGGAACCACCCTTTTGTGGCGATTGCAACTGTGTAGTTTTGAGTTGACTAAACAAACTGCATTTGCAACTTTTGCCATCTATATTTTTCTTGTTCAGAACTTTTAGTGCCGAACCACAGCTGCAAAAAAAAATCAAGGGGGCGCAAATTAGAAGATTTGCCCTGCAATCCGAATAGAAACAGCATTCGCAAGCTACGCTGCACCAGTTTTGCATTGACATGGTCAAAAGCTTCTGATTCAAAGCAAGATTACTCCCTATCAGCCAGAAAGATGTAGTGAAAAAGGATGATAAAGGTATATGATACGTTCTTTTTGTTTTCAAAATCTTTGGGTCATTCTGGGTGTTTCCGGTTTCTGCATAGAGGTGCAGTAAAAATTCAGACTCAGGGGACAGCAGATTCTGTTCATTGTTTGTATAAACCCTCCACTTTAGACGTCTAATGTTGACCCATTCATAGCTATACATAGCCATATGAATATGGGCCATATGTCATCCTCTGGTTTTCCGAAAACCTGAACATATTTACTGTATAATAGTACATTTACATGAGGGTTGAACGAAAATGTGAGATCATGCCAATGTGCATTTGAACAGATGTGCATGTTTTGGAACAAACGAGGTGGAAAGAATGCGATCGTTGGCAAAAGAGGTTCAAACAGGGCAAAACGGCCACTAGTCGTTGAATTGAGCAGAAAGCCACAAAACAGAAATCTATGTGTTTAGGCTGTAGACATAGTTTTGCCACTGGAAACTGACATGGCTATGATGACCTCACAAGGACGTCACATCTGATTGGATGGCTGGTGAAGGTCATCTCTCAAATAACATCATTCAGCCAGATGAAATTATTAAAAATGACACTCCACCAACATCTGGTTGATATCACTGGTTGGTGGTTTGGAACCATGGAATTTTATGACTTTCCCATCATATTGGGAATTTCATCATCCCAACATATCCCAACTGACTTTCACTCATATTTTTCCGTGGGGTAGGTTGAAACCACCAACCAGAAACGATATTAATCATCATTATCAACCTTTATCATGATGCGTCCAGGAAAAAACACGGGATTGGCACCACAGCAGGATGCTGATCGACTCGTTTCATAATGGGGTTCTCCAAAACACTGATAGAACCATCGCAAGGAAACCATGGATTCTCCAACCATTTGTATTTGTATCGGAGTTTATATATATATATATAATTATACATATATATAATTATATATAATTATATATATATATATTATATATGATTATATATATATATATTATATATATATATATATATGATTATATATATATACTCTACTTTTCTCAACCGATTGCTGGATTATGGATGGTTTTTGGATATTTAGCCAACACTTTAGTGGGGTGATTTTGGCAAACACATACTGGGCCGCTGTCTGAACCAATCGAGTACCCCCTTCCATCCACTGGTGAATCATCACCTTTTTTCAAACGCTCTGAACCAATACATTTTCAGACCAATACATTGCTGGTTATATATACCCTCTGGTAATGACTAACATAGCTATTGAAAATGGCTATTTATAGTGGATTTTCCCATTAAACATGGTGATTTTCCATGGTTATGTTAGTTTACCAGAGGGTATATATACATATATATATATGTATGTATGTATATATATATATATCAGTAGGTCCCGTTGCATCTCCGAGTACTAACTACAGTACTAACTACATATTGTCGGTCATATATCCCATCATAGTCTCCCTGTATCACTATCCCCATGTTGGATGAAACACCACCATTTGTTTCACCCATGTTCTTCAAGGTGAACATGGTTAAACCATCTATTTTCAAGTTAGCCGCTAATCAGCTCCATGACTAGCTGGAAAATCTGCAGATGATGTCCCCCTTAGCTTAGCTCCATGGCAAGTCGAAGGACATGGCGGATTTGACAAGTTTTGTGTCGCCCAAATCGAACAAGTCCAAGAGTCAGGCGGAGATGGATGGTTGGGATGGGATGGGATAGATGCCAACGAATATTCGACGAAGGGCCCCCAATGGTGAAATGGCGATTAAAACCCATCAACTTAAATGGGATTTATAGCTGATTTATGCTGATTTATGATCGCTAATGAAGTTGGAGAACAGTCCACAATTTTGGGGGGTTGATTAGGCGCATATACTGTATCGAACCAGTTAGCTGGGGTTGCAAAGCAACTTAGAACTAGGGGCCCCCACTATGTAGCTATTGAAATCCACGAAAATCATCCACACAGGGGGTCATTGTCCATAGCGCCATAGCCATGTTTAAATTATCAGAGGGTAGAGGATTTAGACGATACCTATTAGATGTTGATAGATTTTGCACGAATTTATAGCCTAAGTTGTCCGTCAGATTCAGTCATCAGATAAAATTGAAAAAATAGTTGTTTTGTTTCATAAAGTTGTCCGTCAATCAGCATTATAATCTATACTATTATACTTGATGAGAAATTTGCCTTTTTGATAATCATAGTATAATTGATGATCATGGCTATACTATTTGTATTATACATGATTTTTTGATGATCATCCCCACTGCAGATGATGAACACATTGCATCTCTATATTGTGACACTTGCCTTGGGATCCTGTCATGTGGGGACATCCCATTTGGGTACTAAAAATGCGTACTATACCATAATGGTACCATATTAATGGACAATATCTAGACAATTCTAGACATGTAAATAATGTAAATATACATATAATATGTACAAATAACATCACACAACAGTTACACATGTATATATGGCTGTATGGCCTGGTATGAAACACATCTATCATGATATAGATACGCATATGTATGGGATGATTGCAACTGTAATGGAATCGACTGGAAGGAGATGGAGTGTTCTGGCATGCAGATATTTTGTGGGCAGCATGTCATGGCGAGTGTATGTTTTTTTAGATGAGCGCGTATGTAAATGTTGATTCAATCCAGATACACTGAAATAGTTGTTATTTTTTTGCGAGTACAATTTGGCATTTGAGTGATCAGGTTGCACGTGTCAAATGTTTGACCCAAGCGCCAAAAACAACATGGGACAACATGAACAACCAGGAAATTGTGGTTCTGTACTTAATTCTGACCCCCAGGTGTTTGCTCACAGCTTATAAGTCTAAGTCTCATCATCAGAAGAGTGAGCTCACCCGGGTGCATCTAAATATATACGTAAATAAAATATATCATATACAGTGATATATATATATATACTCAGCTTACATACCTATGTATATTATATATATACATGATATGTAAACATATGGTACCCCATATATATATATATATAATATATATATATACATAGCACGTGTGTGAATGGACATTACCTAATGCTTCATCAAGAACAACGCTGATTGTCTTTTCTTAAAACGCCAACGCTCTCAGAGTCCACAGCTCTGCCGAGGTGGAGTTCAAGTCAGAAGCTGAGCCGATTGACATGAAGACACCGAAGAGCCGCAAGAGCCACAAGAGCCACACTGCCGAAGGTGGAAATCAGTTCCTTGCCACTGGAAAAACCGACTGGATGGTTATTTTACTACCAAGTAATGTTTTGTGTGAAATGGGGGATATGGATATATACCATCTGGTAAATTAACACAGACCCTGAAAACATGGTTTTAGTGGAAACTAGTTTTCCAACCCCTATTTGCCAGGGTCTATGTTAATTTACTGGAGGGTGTGTATATATATATATATGTTAGCTCCGCCTAAGATCTACCTTTGCTCTTCCAGAGACAGGCATGATGAAACTCACTGCATACTTCAATTCATTATACAGTGAGTTTGATCATGCAAATTGTGTAAACCCTTTAAAGAAACAGTATCCCTACAACATATAGAGCATTCCTCTAAACATGCAGTGTTCCTTTCTGAAGGAGTGCAGTTTTCCTTCAGGAAAGTATTCAGCCTTCGTTCATTTCAAAACACCAGATTCCTACACAATATGCAGTGTGTGATTAAATTTGGGTATTGCTGTGAACATGTGCAATGGTTGATGCTCATTACAGCATTCCTTCAAAAAGAAAGATTGTTGTTAAAGGAACATGCTGCTTACAGGTTACAATCTGCCTTGAAGACCTTGAAGACAAGATAGTCCCTTGAATCAAATAAGAAGCATTTTCAGTGGAACCCAGGTTGATGCTGGACTTCCCGGAGCCCGTGAAGGCCGCACCATGCGTGGCGCCTGCAGTGGTCACGGTCACGGCGGCGAAGCCGAGCACTGGGATCCGCCTGGCAGGGAACAAATATCCCTTGGGGCTGGCGAGGCGTGGAGAGCTGGGACATCCTGGGACGGGCTGAGGTTTCATGGTGGATGGCCAGTGGATGGTGGTAACTATCCCTACTTGGTGGCTCATCCCAGTTAGTAAGTGGGATATAACCCCAGTTATAAATGGGATAAGTAGGGTTAATCCACTTATAATTGGGGTTATAACCCATTTACTAAGTGGTATGAACCACCAAGTAGTTATCATCCATTTATAGATGGATTTTCTATAAGAAAAACCAACCATAAATGGGGGATAGCCCCATTTATGGCAACTCCCATATTGAACTATAGTTGGGTTTATAAACCTTTGTAATTGGAGGGACACTTTGAAGACTATCTTGTGTAGCACATTTATGTAGTTCGTGGGGATTCATGTTTCAGATGCACCACATGCTCACAGCTGGGAGTAATGGTGGAATGGGTGTTGGGGATGGCTTTGGTACCTACGCTTCGACGAAGCAAGTTTCGTGGCATGTTTATGGATCAAGACTTGGTACCCTCTGGGAATCAAACGTGGCAATTGAAAATCTACCGCTTATAGACCATTTTCCCATGAAAATCTCCATTGAATGGGGATTTTTCATTGCCATGGTTAAGGTTCGAGGCAATTGATTGTCAGATGGTCTAAAATTCGAACATTCACCTATCAGCGGGCGCAATGTACGCCTCAAAAAAAAACAGTGGTACTCGTACCAAATAGACCCGTGAGATTGATCATTTCTTTATACTGGTTACTAATAGGTACCCACAAATCATTCCAATCAGGAGATGTGTATTCCATATGTTTCCATAGTTGTGTCCCTGATTTTGCAGTTTCCAATCACAAAAAATGTTATTGTACAGACCCCCCTTTCACCATATTATTTCATCCTTTCAGAAAATACATGCTCACTTTAGTCGCCATTCTTGCAATGACATATGAAAACATTTGGGTTTGTCTGAAAATAGGGTATTGCCCTAAAATCCCATATGCTCCATGTATGGAATATTTACCAAAATTTGCCCTAAAATCACCCAAATGTAGGTAAATATACCATACATGGAGCATATGGGAATGGCAATTTGAATAGTGAAAATCATGACAGAACGATACGTTTACCATCCCAAAGTTCTCATGGCGTGTGCCGTCGTTGAGGTTCTTGGGCTCCACGCATGTGGTGCTTGGCCATCTTTTCGCCAAGGGTCTCTTGGATTTTCACTGCCGCGCTCGATGCTTGGGGATGTAGGTTCATCATGGTTCATCTCCCTAGTGGTATAAATAAATATAAATAATATAAACATAATGTTAAACAAATGGATCATAGATCAATATGCTTTAATTCAGAATTCATAAGAGGGACTAAGAGGGTGGAAGGGGAGGGATTTTAACGTGTTTTTTTTCATGGGTGTCATGTGGGTTCATTGTGATCCAATAAAGACTTCTTCATCACAGCTGATGGATATAACATATGCTTATAGCTGGCGCACTTTGGTTCAACACTTGTCACATTTTATCCAATACGGTTAATACATAATATATCATATATGAATACCACCTGGTGCACTCGGATGACGGTGGTGGTTCATGTATCATCCCAATAAACCTTCACTGATTGATGCTTTGGAACTTGTTGTGTTTTTCCATGCAATGGGAATAATCTATATTTTCCATATATATATGTATATATATATATATATACTGATTGGTGGTTTGGAACATGATTTTTATTTTTCCATATATATATATATTAATAATTGGGAATGATCATCCCAACTGACGAAGTCCATCATTTTTCGGGGTAGGTAACCACCAATCAGTTCATGCTTGTGGTCAAGGCTGCCCTCAATGTCTTGGCCAAATACGGTGAGTATACGTCACCCGAAAAAGGTGACGCAGGGAAAACTTGTTCGAATGACACAATAATCCAGATTGTTGATTGAAGGTATTGGTTGATCCAGATGAAATACCAATGAAAATATTGGAATAATGAACAAATTATATGAAGGTATTGGTCAATCCAGAAATAATTCCAACCAGAACTTGACATTATCAACCAACAGTTGTGATTAACAGTTGAGTTGGTATGAGTTGGTAATTTCACATATTGTTTCATTTAGCATTCATGATGACTTCCTGAAATAATATCCCAGAGGTAGACATGTCGTTACATTTGCCTAGTTTGAGTGGATGACACATCGATTCTTTGTGATTTTAGTAGTTGACCCCCAAAACAAACGCAATGCGTGTCCCTTCAAAAGCACAGGTGGCTGATGACTGAAAGAGGAACCATTAGTGCTTTGGGCACATATTATATATACACACTAAATATTATAATGTAATATTATATTATGTATTTAATGTATACATACATATGTATATATATATATATTATGTATATATTGACTGTCATATATATATATATATATATGTTTTATAATATTATATATATATGTTTTATAATACTATATATATACACAATATTATATACATGCAAATACATGTCTTGTGAACCAGTGGTCAAAGCTGCAGTTTACATATGGGCACATAACCAGCAAACGAGTTGTACTTCAATCTGCCTCTACCAAAGGCTTTACCATCACTGGGGCGAATCAGCACGTTTCAGACCCTGAATCATGCTGGCAGATTTATGATTGGCTTAGATTTCATCATATTTTTTTCAGAAAAATAGCCCACTTATTAGAAGATGTTCATTGATTTTCCCATTTTAGAATCTCCATTGGGGATTTTCCATGGCCATCCCGTCAACAAAAACCACCTTTCCGGGAAAGTTGAGGCGTCACGGAGCCCGTTTACTTCTTCGGTGTCTTCGTCGCAACCATGGTTAGATTCCAAGATTAGCTGGGGTTATGCCAGAGGATCGTAAGAAAAGATGGAAATAAACGTGTTTCCAGGATGTTATAGATTATGTTTCCTCCATAATTTCCAGATGTCCAATTGTTTTTTTACCTATTTGTGTGTCGATGTATATATATATATATATAAATGATTTATGCCAGTTTGACTAGTACACAGCCATTCATTGCCTGTTAGTTTCCCTGCAGGGATCATTAAAAAGGCTGGTTCTACATGGTTATAAATTCAAAATTGCGCGATCTACACGGTGAATCTTGGATCATCACCATGTTCGTCCATGAAAATAAACCTGCAGACTGCATATTCTTTGCAGCAATCATTTTTGGGGCAATCGGATTTTTACTTGGATCGTCAGCAATCAGACGAAGAATTGGTTTAAGGAAAAACTGCCAGGAATTCCCCGTTCAGAAACCAATATATAAGACCTTCAATTTCCCTGTAAGTATGGATGTGAACAGGTTTTTCAACTCATGGTTCTCCAAAGATTTCTAGGCAACGGTGAAAAAACATTTCCCTGATTTTTTTCAGGGAACAGTGGATGGCGTGAAGCAGCCCTGTCACAAAAAATCCCCTGGAGGATGGGGCTTCACCTGGGTCCCTTGGTTCTCAGCGGCTTCGTTCTCTTCTCAGCCTACCTGAAGAACCCCAAGGAGCCGTGATATCCGTGATCCGGCTGGGGGATCTGCTGAGAAAGGATGGTTGGGGGAGAAAATGATGATTTTTCATGGGGATTTAAGCAACAAAATTGGTGGGATGAAATCGGTTTGGGCTATTTCAAGATGATTTTTCATGGGGAATTAGGAGAGAATGTAGAGCTTTCAAAGGCATGAAGAGTATCGAAGCTTGGCCATATTCACTTGAATGTATTTCGTGGGAAAGATGGGGCTGGGGCACGTGCAGCTGGAGGCAATCTGCAGTCTCGTGGAGACCGGGGGACGCCAGCGATCAAGAAGACGAGTTGATATCCCAAACCGTGCAGTTGTCTCACTACCCTCCGGTACTCAAAGCTGGCTGGCAATGGGAATCCTCTCTATAAATGGAGGTTTCGTTGGGAAAATGATCATACTAAAATGATGGAGTTTCCAGCAAGCCCTGTTTGATTACTTGATGGTCAACTTATTTTCCCAGAATTGGGTGATTCTTGGGTTATGGGCAGAGCCTCCAATGTTCACTGGATGACCAGGCTTCGCTGGTCAGTGCCAAACTTCCAGGTGATATGCCCCAAAAAAAACGGTGTACAGTCGAGGTGGCCATGAAAAGACTCGAGATGTGGGTATTTTCAGAAAATGATATGGTTATGGGTCAAAACCCTGGTACCCAAGTACCCTAAAATAGCTGGTTGATAGATGGTGATTCCCTCTATGGTCATAATATATAGGTTTTGACCCATCCCCATATGAGTCTTAAATATCAAAAAAAAGTACTTGAAAAGATCATGAACTAGTGAGTCCAGTGTTTTTCTGCGCCATGACCAACTTATGCCAGTGCCAAGAGCATGCGGTAGTTACCCAAGTGGTCACTTGCACGTTCTGAATAACTCCATAGCTGCCATAGCCAATGGTTGGTCACTAAAAAAGTGACCTGTGTTCAAAATCCCTGTGTCGTCCTTTATAATGGATGTACCGACCGAGGTTCTGAACACTTTCCCACTTTCTCAGCTATGTTGGGGTTCTATCTTCCCTATTCTTTGTACCTGGTTACCCAATGGCCCATTTAAGGTACTAATCCTTAAATGAGTGATTATGATGGTGGTCAGTCTTGCAGGAGTTGAAGAATATCCAAAGCATTCCAAAACTATATCGCAGTTAACCACCATCTATATGTATCCTCAGTTTTGCTGCTTGAAGATGAATGTTGGTGGAAATATCATTCTGCTTCTGAATTCCTGAGTTCACAACAAAAGATACAAGAACTGAGACTGAATCATTACTTGGTGACTTGGTGATTTGGCATATGTGTTATTTTGCGACCTTGGATGGTGAAGTAATTGGCATTTGCTATGGCGTAAAATGAATAAACCCCGTTTTGGATGACCGAGGGACCTGAATGGTGACCGCAGGAAGAGACCATGGTGCAGTATGTCATGCGACGTAGCACCACCATCTACCCTTTGTATGCGTGGCTGGGCTTCCGGCTTCCGCGTCACGATATTAAACAGCTCCCAACGGTCTTCAATGATGATATGTAAAGGAAGGGTCCCGCAAACGATAGGTAAGTGGTTTAGAGTAAATAACAATATTACTCGTAACTAGGACTTATGCTAGATATATTTATGATTTGATTCGGTTATACATATAATCAATTCAACTTAGAATTGGGGTTGCCTTCCTGTAGATATTTGGTGAGTTAAGGAGGTATGGATGAACGAAATTTGTACTAAACGAGGAGCTGAAGAGCTTCAAGTAGAGCTCCAACCTATTGTGGGTAAACGATAGCCACAAGGGTGGTAAATTGGTAATTTTACCTCTTTATCTACCCAATTTACCAGCCTTGCACTGTACCATACTGTACCTGGAGGGGTTGGAGCAATGATATGCATCTTTCTTTAGCGGGAATCCAAATACTGGTTGGGTGTTTCAGCTAGGCTGTTATTTTTCATCAACCATAATGTGGAACTGCGGAATTCATCCAATGCTGAGTCAGTCACCATCCCCAATTGAGGTTTATGGCGGTATACCCGTATACCGGGAATGATGTAGAATGACCCCCTATTATTGATATTTAATATGATTGAAATAGTGATATCCATTTGGGATTTAATATTTAATATGTCATTCTACAATATGATAGTTTATTGTCGGGTTTACAATATTGCTTGGGATAGTGATCGAAGGAAGATGAAGGAAGTTTAGAAGTCAAACTTCCGACAAAATGGACAGATGAAAAAGCAGAGGTGGGAAGAGTCAGGGAAGAGAAGAGAAGAAGAAAGAAGATCAGGGAAGAGAAAGAGTCAGAAGGAAGAAGATGCAGGTGCGCGAAAAGGTAGAAAAGTCGCGAAACACTGTTTTTTTTCCAATGTTTTGTGGCTTCGGAGGGTCGAAAAGTAGGCTCGCTAAAGCGGCGGGTGCGGAGCCATTTGGCCAGATGAGAGATGAACAATTGCACACCGTTGTGGCGCGAAGCACATTTCAAAGCCCGAATGCCAAAATACACCGACATCGGAGCACTTTTGGAAGCTGAGATGTTCAATCAGTGCACGCTGTTGTGGCGCGGCGCGAAGCACATGTGGAAGTCAAAATGTTAATAACACCTCATGTTCGGAGCACTTGTGGAAGTTGAGATGTTCAAACAGCGCACGCCATTGTGACGCGAAGCACATGTGGAAGTCAAAATGCTAATCACACCTCATGTTCGAAGCACTTTGGAAGTCGAGATGTTAAAAAAGTGCCCTGCGTTGTGGCGGGATGCACATTTCCAAGTCAAAATGTTAAAAACAATTCATTTTTGGACCACTTTTGGACGTACAGATGTCGTTTCGCATGGCAGGCGCAAGGGATTGTGCACATTGCCCAAAGTAAGCAAAACGTGATGGTTTCGTAGCAGTTCAAAAAGCGTTTTTGTGACATATTTGAAGAGGATCTGCAAAGATGCATGTTGTGTAGCAGGCGCGGTACAAGAGACACATGGATCAGGCATGTTAGGAGGTCCGGGCGCTGATTTCCTGAGACGGGCTGCATTTTGGAGCATCAGATCATCAGGTTTGCTACGATGATTTTGCGTGACAGGTGCAGCACTTCGTATGACCTGGCCTCACTTTTTCGTGGCAGGCGCAGTACTTCAGACAGATGGAATGGAAAAGTTGCAAGACGCATTGGTACGAGGCCGTCAGTTTTGCACTCGACTTTTCATTTGTGAAGGAAGTCTCGCGCAATTGCTTTGTTTTTGATGTTCGTTTTCAAACTTGCAGACAGATATTGTAGATAGATAGGTAGATAGACTCATAGACTCATAGACAACTACAACAGCAACTACATCTACACTACGCTAATTACATTACCACTACTACAACTACAACTGCGAATGCACATTTACAATACGCTAATTACACTACACTACACTAATTGCACTACACTACACTACTTGCACTACAACTACAAGAACTACTAGAACTACAGCTACGACTACATTACCTTACACAACACTACACTAATTCTACTACAACTACACCTACAACTACAGCTACAGCTACCACTACATTGCACAACACCTCACCCAGTAATCACACTACACTACACCACAACTACAACTACAACTACAACTACAACTACAACTACAACTACACTACAACTACAGCTACAACTAGAACTAAACTATTTTACGCTACACTACATTAGACTACACTACACTGTACTACACTACAGTACACAACACTACAGTACACTACACTACACTACATTACATTGCACTAATTACACCACACCACAACTACAACCGCAACTGCAACTACAACTACACTAGACTAGTTACACTATACAACTACAACTGCACTACACCACTCCACACCACATCCAGCAGTGGTGGGTGAGGTGACCACTGCAACCAGCGCAACCATTCCAAAAAACACAACTCCAACCACCTTTCGGTCCATCAGTAGGTTCGCTCTGCCATCCATGCATCACAACAACTCACCTCTCCTACAGTGTCCTATATTTTACCTATATTTGAAACTTCCGCCACCGCCTTGTGCGGTACTACTGGTAGCCAACGTTCAAGGCTTTCATCACTTTTCTGATGGGACGATGCCAGGTAGCCGCGCAAAACTTGGATGCCGAGTTTCATAGGCTAGACATTTTTGGTTATGTAGCAGTTTGCTACGGTGAAAGGCCCATCTTTAGATATGTATGACGATTTATTTATCAAACATGCAGTAAAAATGTTGATTACCAGAGGGTATATTGACCAACAAAACAAATTAGTTTTTGTTGTTGTTGGCAAAAATTGTTTGGGTATGGATCAGAACCTATTATTACCCCCTTCAGGTGGATGAACATCCATCAAAGCTGCCAGGAAAGTGAGCCCGAATAGGGCAGGGATGGGCAGGGTGTGGAAGGAAGATTGGTTGCTGATTGTTTCGCTCGGGATCAGATGGCAAAAAAAAAGTGGCAAGGAAAACTCCGTGAGAATCTTGCAGTCCATTCAACATGACCTGACGTACATGGGTAATGTGGGTAAAACAATGTCATAAACCACGCAATTATGGGAATGGTAAACATCCCACCTTTAAACATGGTGATTTGGGGCATGGTTTATTAGTTCACCCACATACCATGTTATAGTTTTGACTTCGATTCATCCTTGTCCTCTTCCTGTCCAGGTTCCGCCTCGGACTCCGCATCTTCCTCCCCCTGGTTCACTCCTGCCTCTTCGTCTTCCTGCCCTCTATAGAATCAACTGGAATCATACAGTGTTGGTTATACTAATATCATCTAATATCCCATTATACTACAATTATACTTCTATTATACCTCCATGATATTCTCGCTATGGCAGCTAAATCCCAATGTGTTGATCATTTTTCTTCCAGAAATCACCTCTTCCTCATCTGGGTGAACGCTCAGGTTCTCGTTGATTCCAGCCTTCATCATCGGCAAAAGTTTGGGCACGATGCAGGTTGGTGTGTGGCCGGGGAAGTGGGCGGG